GATTACAGGAAGATGGAACATGGCCATTTTCCATGGTTTTTCTATGTCATCCTCCACTAGGATATGTAAACTTTACCTTCTTTACTTTTTAAAAATTTTCCATTTTTTAAAGTTGATTTTTTTTTTTTTTGTTACTTCCCAGAGAAAATAGATGTCATTCAAGTAGATACTGCAACTTCTTGGTCCAGTCTATAAACACTCATTATGAGCTTCGAGTTCCTGGATACATCAGTTCCAGGCTACTTGGATTCCTGGTCTACAAATTACTAGCTATGTAACTTTGAGCAAGTTTCATCATCTGAAAAATGGGGTTAATCATAGTATTTAACTAACAGTATTCTTGTGAGAATTTATTCATTCAACAATATTTATTGATCACCTTCTGTGTTCCAAGACACTGTTCTAGGTGCTTGGGATTTATCAATACACAAAATAAAGATCCTTATACTTGGGTGGATTAAACACATAAGAATATGTAAAGTATTTAGTGCCTGCTTTCTCTGGACACTTAAGGTTTCTCTTCTTCTGCTTCTCTTTTAAACTTCAGATTTTCATAGGATCCCATCCTTTGCCCTTTCTTGTACCACATCTACACACATGCCTTCACCTCTCACCTCATTGAACACTTCTGAATCTGTAGTCGTAGCTCAGATCTCTCACCAACTACTAACAAAACATCTCCATTCCAGTGTCCCCAAAACTCAGTCTTTTACAAATCTCTTTTCCTTCTGATATTTCTTAGCTCAGTAAATCATTAAGCTAGACTAGCCTAGCCTAACTATTGAGGTGAGACCCTGTCTCTACAAAAAATTTTAAAAAGTCAGCTGCACGTGGTGGTCCACACCTGTAGTCCCAGCTACTCGGGACTGTGAAGTAGGAGGATCACCCAAGCCCTGGAGGTTGAGGCTGCAGCGAGCCATGACCATGCCACTGCCCTCTAGCCTGCCCAACAGAGTGAGACCCTGTCTTCCCAAAAAAAAAAAAAAAAAAAGAAAGGAAAGAAAGTTAAGCTAGAAACCTAAAGTTATCCTTACTCTAGTCTCATATCAAATTGATTATCAAACCTATATTAATTTTATATCTTTTGTATTTCTTAAATCCGTCATCTTTTCAAACAGCTTTGAAAAGTATATAAATATATAAATCACATACTTGTGTGCTAGGCAGAGTGGCTCACACCTGTAATCCCAGCACTGGGAAGCTGAGGCAGGAGGCTTGCTTGAGGCCAGGAATTCAAGAACAGCCTCAGCAATAAAAAAGTGAGACCTCATCTCTACAAAAAATTTTTTTTAATTACCTGGGCATGATGGTGTGCACTTGTAGTCAGCTGCTAGTCCTAGCCAAGGTGGGAGGATCACTTGAGCCCAGGAACTTGAAGTTATCATGAGCTGATTGAGCCACTGTACTCTAGCCTGGGCAACAGAGTGAGACCCTGACTGTAAAAAAAAATACATTAATAAATTACATACTTCTGCTTCTTACCTGAAGTAGCCTCCTGCTTCCCCTGCCTTGTTTCGCCTCTGCCACCCACTCCCTAAGCCCATTTACCAAACTCCTGCCAGAGAGATTTTTTTTTTCTAAAATTATAGACCTAACGTTGCAGATCTGATATTATAACTAGGATTCCATGTCAGTTCATTATTGCTGAATAACAAACAGTCCCACAACTTAGCGGCTTAAAGCAACAAGGACTGATCATTTCTCAGGATTCTGTGGGTTGGCTGGGTGGTTTCCTTGCTAGGTATGCCTGGGCTCCCTAATATGGCTGTATTTGACTAGAGGATCATCTGGACTGGAAGGTCCAAGATGGTCTTACTCACGTGTCTGACAATCCATGCTGGGTTTCAGATGGGGCACCTCATTTCTCCTTCTCTTGATGTCTCATCCTCCAGTAGACTAGATCGGCTTCCTTACATGAGGATTTTAGGGCAGCATTCCAAAAGGGAGAAGGGAGAAGCTGCGAGGACTTTTGAGGCCTAGCCTCGTGAACCTGCACACTTCACTTCTGTTACATTCCATTTGTCAAAGCAAGTCACAGCCCAGCAGATTTAAGAAGTGGTGAAATAGACTCAGCCTCCTTATGGGAACAACTGCAAAGAATTTCTGACCATGTTGATTTGCTACTGGGTCCTAATCACCTTTAGGGTAAATTTCAAATCTTTTAGCATGGTACTCAGTCTTTTAAATGTGGGCTGATTTCTTGCCACATACCATATCTCGGCCACAGAGAACTGTTTGTTCTTTAACCTTGCCATGAACCATCACATTTTTATGCTCTTGCTGTTCCTTGCATATTGCTTGGTATAGAGGTACCATAGTGTATTTTCTTGTTTTTGTGTTACTTAGATTGATTTCCAGTTCTTCATTATAACCCTATAGTAACCATTCTTTAGCAAAGTAGAATTACTTATTGAATCAAAAATGTTGATTAAAAAATTTTTTTTAAATGTTTTTGATTCTTAATACTAAACCACTCAGAAAGGTGTCAGGTTCTACTCTAGTCAGCAAGCTGTGAGAGGGCCCAACTTGCTCGAGAGGAAGTAAGAGGTACCTAATACCACCATAACCAAAATGTATTTTGTATTTTTATTACTAATTTAGCTCCTCATATTTAAGAAAATTTTACAACCCTAATTAATTTTTTATATGTTTAATAAGCAAATATGGTTAAACTGCAGTCTAAAGATACAGGAACATTCCTGTATAGGTTCCCAGCCATTTGTTAATCTGGAAAAGTTGGGGGGGGTGGTCCATACATGCTTTCAATTGACCCAGCAATCCCATTACTGGGTATATATCCAAAGGATTATAAAGCATTCTATTATAAAGACACATGCACACGAATGTTCATTGCGGCACTGTTTACAATAGCAAAGACCTGGAACCAACCCAAATGTCCACCAATGATAGACTGGACAACAAAGAAAATGTGGCACATATACACCATGGAATACTACACAGCCATAAAAAACAATGAGTTCATGTCCTTTGTAGGGGCATGGATGAATCTGGAAACCATCATTCTCAGTAAACTGACACAAGAACAGAAAACAAACACCGCAAGTTCTCACTCATAGGGACAATGAGAACACATGGACATAGGGAGAGGGGAATCAGACACTGGAGTCTGTTGGGGAGGTTAAGGGAGGGACAGCAGGGTGGGGTGGAAGGGTGGGAAGGGATAACATGGGGAAAAATTCCAGATATAGGTGATGGGGGATGGAGGCAGCAAACCACCTTGCCATGTATGCACCTATTGCAACAATCCCGCATGAACTGCCTAATGTACCCCAGAACCGAAAGTACAATTAAAAAAAAAAAAAAAAGAATAGCACAAGTAAAGGCCAAGTGGGTCAGGGGAGAATGACAAATCTAAGGAACTGAAAGTAATTTTAATCAAAATGCCATAAAATAGAAAGGTGAGACTTAATCCCAAATACATAAGCAAGAGAAAGTTATGAAAAGCCTTGAACAACATATTAGAAAATTAACCTCAATGTAATAAAACAAACATAAATCTGTTTTGGGGAAAAGAGCACTGCCAATGTTAGACACCATGGAGCACAAAGAACTACTCAGCTTGACCACTGTTGTAAAGATTGGCAATGATGTGAGGACAGTAACAAAATCAAAGAGGTTACAAGTGATAACTGTAGTTTAGACATGAAACGTGTGATATTGTAATGTAGAATGTTTAAGTCTTAGCAGTTAACGTGGTTGGAATAGCATTCAAATAGCGTGAATGGTTTTCTCAAATGATGCACTCTTCTTTTGCTTTTAGCATGGTAGGTCTTCAGTAACAAGGTAGTGAATTATTAACTGAAATTAAATAGAAAAATGTTAGAACACTTCACCAAGAACGTATACAAATGCCACACATAGGCAAAAGTGTTTGGTCTTATTAGTAATGAGAGAAATGCCAACTAAAAGTACGTTATTTATTTAGATAAAACTACCTAACAAGGAGTGAAAGTATAAGCATTGAGACAAATGTGGAGAGGAACTATAATACAGCACTGATATGAGTGAAAATTTATAAAATAGCTTTGAAAGACTGTTTGGCATTGCTGTCATAAACTAAGTCAGTGTACACTTTACCATCCAGCAATTCAAGGCCCAGAATGTATATAACAGAAATTTGTAACCACTTATATTAAGAACACTTGACAAGAGTGTTAACATCTGCTTTACTCATAAGAGCTGTAGACTGGAAACAGCCCAGAGTTTCATCAAGAGTAGAATGGGTAAGGAAACAATGATACATTTGTGTAATGAAATAGTATATAGCAACAAATGAACAAATTTTGAAAAATTTAATGCTATTTACCACAAAAAAAGAAGAAACTCCAAAACATAATATTGACTGAAAGTAACTATTCAGTAAGTGAATAATAAGTTACAGTGTTTGATGTTAGGAAAAATAAAAAAGGAGGGATGGGTAGAAATTTGAAAAGGGGTAAAAAATGGAAAGAGGAAAGAGAGACTTAGGAATAAGTTGGCAGAATGTAAGTTTGGACAAACAAGTTTCCATCAAGTTTGCTAGGTATAGAACTACCTGATTTTTAGCCACTAAGAATGAGAAAGAATAGTTATATAAATTCAAAAGAAATCTGTTCATGTTATTATAGTTTCATAACTTAAAACAAGGATATCCAGCCGGGTCTCTTTTTATATATCTTTATTCCATTTTCTGTTCATTACATTGTTTCAAAATTTAATTAATTTGTTAGTAGGGCCTTTTATAGCCCTATCACAGACTGTTTTGGAAGTTGGAAAATGTAAGTTCTGCGGCAGTGCCAATAGGTCTGCAAAATAATTTATTTAAGTCTCTGATGGTTATGAATAATGGTTATGCTTTTAAAAATTATAAAATGCTGTTTTCCTTTCTGTAAGATGGAAGAATTTCTGCCTCTGAGAACCTCCTCTAATTTTAGATGTGAAGATATATATTAGTAATCTGTTACATACTTAATGAGATCATTTCTCATTTGTCTTTGAAGCTCTTCGTGGACAGGTTGTTCAGTTCAAGCTCTCAGACATTGGAGAAGGGATTAGAGAAGTAACTGTTAAAGAATGGTAAGTTAATCTGAAAAAAAACTTTTAAGTAAATTTAAAAATTGGAAGTTGGAAAGTGTAAGTTCTGTGGCAGTGACAATAGGTCTGCAAAATAATTTATTTAAATCTCTGATGGTTATGAATAATGGTTATGCTTTTAAAAATTATAAAATGCTGTTTTCCTTTCTGTAAGATGGAAGAATTTCTGCCTCTGAGAACATTCTCTAATTTTAGATGTGAAGATTAATTTTACTAATTAATTTCTAGTAATTAGTACTAAATAATACTAATTACTAATTAGTATTAGTAAACATTACTAATACTAATTTTAGATATTAGTAATGTTTAATGGATAGTTAGAATCCATTTAAACTGAGAAACTTCTTTATAAAAGACATAATGCATTTTAAAAAGCAATAAGGTAGAATTACCTTGTGTTGATGATATAGTGGTGATGGAATTTGTCGTACATCAAGGTATTTTATTCAATGTGATTTAAAACTATCAGGTAGTCTAAGCTCTCTTTACTATATTGAAAATGACTTTAGTAAGAATGTAAGTATGTTTGACTTACCGTTACCTGATACAGTTTGCTCGTATGTTTAGAAGAGATGAAAATATTTTACCAAAAATCATGAATCAAAATATAGATTTTGAAACATTAAAAAATTATCCTAAACAGGGCCTGAAACAAACAAACAAAAAACTTTCATCCTCTATCCCTTTTCTTTCTTTCGTTTTCTGGAAAAATAGAAACATCTCTGTGTACCAAACTCAGTTTTAGAGGTTTTTAGAAGTGGCAGGTAAGATGAATAAATAGATTACTTCCCACCATAGATTTATACCACTAAAGATCCTTTTAAGAATCTTGTTCAACCACCTGAACATTCTTTTCTTGTATTTCTTATTATTGCTTTGTAAGTTAGAAGAGAACTGTAATAACATAAACATACCTTATGGTTATGTCTCTGATAGCATTGTGGGATTATGGAAAGAACAATGGATTTCAAATCAGGAGAGCCTGACATCGAAACTTATTAGCTGTTCTACCTGTGACTCACTTGGTCTCTTAATGTGTCAATGAGGATAGCAGAATTTACTCTGTCAACCTCTGGAGTGTTAAAAGGATCAAAATAATGTCATGTATAAGAAATGCATTTGGCAATACCTTATTTTCAAGACCAAGACAGTAGTCAGAAATCTTTGTAGATTTTTTTTTTTCTTTTTTTTGGTAGAGGTTGTGTCTTGCTATGTTGACCATGCTTGTCTCGAACTCTTGGCCTCAAGTGAGCCTCCCTCCTGGGCCTTCCAAAGTGTTGGGATTACAGGCATGAGCCATGGCACCAGTTTTTTGGTTGTTTTTTAAAAACCATTTAATTTCTACCTCTTATTCTTTAGCCCCATATGCTTAGTATTGGACTTACAGCTCTTGGAAGAGGAAATCATTTTATTCCTATTAAAATTCTAAAAGCTCTTTTAATAAGAAACTAATCATTTGACTAGTTTTTTAGAAGTTCTTTAAGAAATATTAAGAACTTTCTTGAATTCTGTTTTTTTCTAACTTATCTATAAATTACTAAAGAAAAAATAAATTATATATATATATATATATATATATATACATACATACATACATATATTGTGTTGCACATGGTAAAATGCTAAAGGACAGAATTCTATCTTATAAAATGGAGCCTGAGAATAGAAATTTGAATATGTAAGGAAGCATAATTTAACAGAAGGTAGTGTGGTTCTGTGAAAGGGTAAATAAAACCTCATTTATTCTTAGAATTTGTGGCAGCAAATGTATGGAAAAAGAAAAAACTTAAATTTCACAAAGACTTTGACAAACTTCTGAGACAAGTTTAGATTTTATATGTGATTTTGTGTGAAAGTCAATTTTGTCTGATAGTATAGACACTCTAGCTTGCTGTCTTTCTCTCTTTTTTTTTTTTTTTTTTTTTTGTAGCCCAGGTTGGACTACAAACTCCTGAGATTACAGGTGAGCCATCACACCTGGCCTTGTGTGACATATCTTCTTCCATCCTTTTACTTTTTACCCATTTGTGTTGTTGAATTTAAATTATATTTCTTAGCATACAGTTGGAGCATTTTTTAAGAATCCATCCTGCCAATCTTTGCCTTTTTATTGGAGTACGTAAACTTTTTACTGTATATTTAAAGTTATTTGCTTTGTGGTTGCCCTGAGGATTACAATTAACATGTTAATTTAAAACACTATAATTTGGATTACTACAAACTTAATTTCAACAGAATATAAAAATTTGCTCCAATATAGCTCTATCACCTCTTCCTTCCTTTTTCTATTTCTGTCATATGTATTCCTGTTTTTCTTTTTTAGAATTATCATTCCATTAGCCAGGCATGGTGGCACACACCCGTAGTCCCAGCAACTTGGGAGGCTGAGGTGAGAGAATGGCTTGAGCCCAGGATGCAGATTGCAATGAGCCAGGATTGCACCACTGCATTCCAGTCCGGGCAACAGAGTGAGACCCTGTCTCAAAAAACAAAACAAATAATTCTTATTCCACATTGAAAGTACTCCATTTTTAAGCATCATAAAGCATATCAACACAGTTTTGTAAGTATTACTTTAATGTGGCTGTCTTATAAATCAGATAGGATTTTTTTAAAAGTTACGAACAAAATACAGATGTGGCCAGGTGTGGTGGCTCACCCGTTATCCCAATACTTTAGGAGACCCAGGTGGGAAAATTGATTGAGGCCAGGAGTTCCAGACCAGCCTGGGCAACATAGCAAGACCCTGCCTCCACCACTACCATCACCAACAACCCAGATGCTCCTTGACTTATGATGGGGATAAGTCCTAGACCCATCAAAACTAAAATGTCTTATGTTGAAAATGCATTTAATATATCTAATCTATCAAACATCACAGTTTAGCCTAGCCTACCTTAAACATGCTCAGAACACTTTCCTTAACCCACAGTTGGGCAAAGTCATCTAATACACAGTCGATTTTATAAAGAACTGTTGAATATCTTAAGCAGTTTATTTAATACTGAAAGTAAAAAACTGAAGCATTGTATGGACACTCAAACTACTGTTTCTTACCGGATGCATATTGCTTTCACACCATCATAAACTTGAAAAACTAAAAGTCAGAGGCCATCTGTAGTGACAGTTCTCTGGGGATTTTGCTTTTTGTGGTAATCCAAAAATTAGGTTTCCCCTTACAGTGGCTGTGAGGCTGCTGATTTGGCTCCTGCTGTGCTAGGAAAAGGATGGAAATTGGGCGAGTTTAAATACTACAAAACTCAGCCGTTTTTCCTGAACACATCCTTCTCAGTACACATCCTTCTCAGTTGTTGCAAGCCTTTTTTTTTTTATTTCCAAAATTCTGACAAAATGGATTTTTAACAACTTTCGTCACTGTACTTCTTGCTTATATGGAAAAGCAGATTTTTGGATATCTTAACCCGCCATTCTGGAAGTGAAAGCATGTGCTTTTAAACCTGGTTTTTATGTCATGGGTGCTGTTTTATCATGGGCTAAGGACCGGTCAAGGCAGGAAGGCAAGAAGCAAGAATGACAACAATTATGTGTTGCTGGCAATAAGTCAGAATTGTGCTAGAAACATTAAGAATGCCATTAGAATCAAAATTAGATGTATTTCAGGTTTGGTTCCCTTCCTCCTATTTTGTTTGCCAAGACTATCTAGCAAAGCCTGTAAAGTATATCTAAGATGATTAAGGGGGTAGAATGACTTTATGTAAGAACAGGCTAAAATAATTTTAGAAAGAAAGACTGGGAGAACTCCCATCTAAAATTCATGAAATTATAAAGGATTGAGGACATCAATTTTTAAACTTCCTTCTGGAAGTACTGGGCATCCCTTAAAGTTTAGAAAACAATAACATGAGACAGTAGAAGGAAATACCACTTTAAAAATATATTTTTAAAACTTGCTTTTCTAATAAATGGGTCAGACAGAAAACCTGAGAGTTTGATTAAATTTTTGGATTATAGACTATGAATTGCTTAAAATTTTTTTGACTATTTCTTGCAGATACATTGAAGAGACTCTGGAAGTCATTATAGTCTTTTCTGAAACATTTCTTAGTATACCATCGGAAAGTAAATACTGGGATAGATGAATACTAATATAATTCAGCATGGCATTTACATCCTTAATATGACTTGTACTTATGATTGTTTATGTAAAAGTATCTCATTTCTTTTTCTTTTAGGTATGTAAAAGAAGGAGATACAGTGTCTCAGTTCGATAGCATCTGTGAAGTTCAAAGTGATAAAGCTTCTGTTACCATCACTAGTCGTTATGATGGAGTCATTAAAAAACTCTATTATAATCTAGATGATATTGCCTATGTGGGGAAGCCGTTAGTAGACATAGAAACGGAGGCTTTAAAAGGTATTGTAAGTCTGTTAATCTATTTTACCGAATTAATTATTGCTCTCTTTTTGCCATTGGGTCACAATTAAAAGTGACCTTTGCTTTTTTTTTTTTCAATTCCTATTTATTCTTGGCTCTTGGAAAAATGTAATCTCTTCAGCGTATTTCAATATATTGTAATCTTTTCAGTCCTTTCAACACAAAATAGAAATCTGAAGTATAGATAAGACAAAACCGGAGGTGGGGGGAAAAGGCAATAGCAAAAGGAAGAGATGAGATGTTGCTGAAAAGCCGGAGGATGTCCCATCCTTTTTCCTCTGGGGAATGACTCAAACATTCAGGCGGTAGTATACACTGTTCCACATAAGTCAGTGATGTTATTCCTTTTGGAGGGGTAAGAAAGGTGGGATAGACTTTTAATAACTTACAGGTTTTGAGTTGGAGGTTTAGAAGCCAAAATCAGGAAAATTGAAACGGTTCTTGGTGAGTCATCATTTTCTTTTGGCCAATTTCCATGTTAAAAATGTGTACCGTAACACTTCATTTACCTGAAGGCCTGCCTTCTGGATACCTTAGTGTTCAAAGAGGCAACAAGCTCTCTCAGTAATTAAAGATTCAGGCTATAAACATTGGCCACTAAGAACAAAAATTGGAGTATCTAAAGAATAAATCTAATGTTATGGATTGTTCTGTTTGCCATTGATACAAAAACAAAAAGTACTCTTGTTGGGGATGGTTATAAACCTTTTCAAGAGAAGTTGAAGAGAAAAGAAGGAAAATTAAAATGAAAGCAAAGATACCAGCATTTAGAAGCAGCAGCAACCATGGGACTTACAAGTGGTAGATATCCTGTCAAAAGGGAATTCATCATAAGAATGTTACAGAGGAAAGCTAAAACAGTTGGCAGTTCCAGTGCAGGCAGCTGGCTGGCTAACTCAGAAGTTCCTTGCAGCACTGTTGTGGTATACCAAAGTTAGGTAATCTAGGAAACAGTTTTGATACTAGGCATTTCGAGAATAATAGGTTCTGTCACAGACCTCCTAGGCCAGCATTCCACCTTGAAAGTGCTGAGATCAAGATACCTCAGTAGTGTAATTCAGAAGTCTAAAAGGAGTAATTGATTTACAGTGCCTGGCTGACACTTAGTACTGCAGTCTATAGAACAGTAACTCATTATAATCTTTTTTTTTAAGATTCACATCATATAATTTATAAAATTTTTTACACTTAATATTCTGTGAAGTATTCCACTTTAGCAGATGAAGAAACTAAACCCAACTAGAAAGATTGAATGATTTGCTCAATGGTCAGTGACAGGACCAAAGTTAGAACTTAGATGTCTGAGGAGAGGTTCAAGATGGCCGATATACTAACAGTTTAGGATTGTAGCTCCCAGTGAAAGCGCAGAGAACGAGAGGACAAATTTTTGTCGCTCATGGACCAGGAGATTCCCAGCGGAGGAGCCCCACAGGTCACCAGCATGACTCTTGTGGCCGGCGCAGCAGTTTTGCCAGTGCCTCAGCGTGGCGGTTCTCGGTGAAGAGTAAACAGGACTGGGTCCCCTTTTGGTTGACGTTTGAAGCTCCAGGAAGGCAGAGTCGCCCATTCAGCTGATTGAAAAAGGGACTCGAGGGAAGCCAGACTGGAGATTCCCGGGCAGAAAAGCACCATGAAGCTTAATGCCACTGTTTTAGCCAGTGCAGTAGGTTGCTCAGATTCTGGCACCGGGAATCAACAAGTTGGATGTCCACTCAGAGACCTAATTTGAAAGTTGGTGATTACAAAGACGACAGACAGGTGGATAAATTTACAGTGATGGGAAGAAAAGCATAAAAAGACTGAAAATACCCAAAATCAGAATGCCTCTCCCTCTACAGAGGATCACAGTACCTCATCAACAGGGGGATAAGGCCTGATGGAGAACGAGTGAGTTCTATTAACAGATTTAGGCTTCAGATGGTGGGTAATAAGAAACTTCTGTGAGTTAAAAGAACATGTTCTAGCCCAATGTAAAGAAGCTAAGAACTTTGAGAAAAGGTTTGATGAAATCCTAATGAGAATAGACAATTTAGAGAGGAATATAAGTGAATTAATGGAACTGAAGAATACAATACAAGAACTCTGCAAAGTATGCACAGGTTTTAACAGTCAAATCAATCAAGCAGAAGAAAGGATATCAGAGGTCAAAGACCAACTTAATGAAATGAGAATACAAGATTAGAGAAGAAAGAGTAAAAAGGAATGAGCAAAGTCTCCAAGAAATATGTGACTATGTGAAAAGACCTAATTTACGTTTGATAGGTGTACCTGAATGTCATGAAGAGAATGAATCCAAGCTGGAAAATATTCTTCAGGGTATTATTCAGGAAAACTTTCCTAACCTAGTAAGACAGGACAATACTCAACTCCAGGTAATACAGAGAACACCATATAGATACTCCTCAAGTAGAGCAACCCCAATCATTAGATTCACCAGGGTTGAAATAAAGGAGAAAATTCTAAGGGCAGCTACAGAGAAAGGTCAGGTTACCCATAAAGGGAAGCCTATCAGACTCACAGCAGATCTCTCAGCAGAAACCCTACAAACTAGAAGAGAGTGGGGGGTCAATATTCAATATCCTCAAAGAAAAGAATTTTCAACCCAGAGTCTCATATCCAGCCAAACTAAGCTTCATAAATGAAGGAAAAATAAAATTTTTCATGAACAAGCAAGCACTCAGATTTCATTACCACCAGGCCTGCTTTACAAGCGCTTCTGAAAGAAGCATTATACACAGAAAGGAACAACCAGTATCAGTCATCCTAAAAACTCACCAAAAGGTAAAGAGTATCTCCATAATGAAGAATCTATATCAACTAATGGGCAAAATAGCCAGCTAGCATTAAATGACAATATTAAACTCACAAATATCAATATTAATCCTAAATTTAAATGGATTAAATGCCCCAATCAAAGACACAGACAGGCAAATTGAATAAAAAGTCAAAACCCATCAGTATGCTGTATCCAGATCCATCTCATAAGTAAGGACACACAAAGACTCAAAGGATTGGAGGAAGACTCACCAATCAAATGGAGAGCAAAAAAAAAAAAGGAGTTGTAACTTTTGTCTCTGACAAAATAGACTTTAATAGTAACAAAGACTAAAAGAAACAAAGAAGGACATTACATAATGGTAAAAGGATCAATGCAACAACAGGAGTCAATGACCATAAATATATATGCACCCAATATAGGAGCACCCAGATACATAAGACAAGTTTTCAATGACTTATAAAGAGACTCGGACTCCCGCACAATAATAGTGGGAGACTTTGACACCATATTGTTAATATTTGACGGATCAATGAAATAGAAAATTAACAGGGACATCTATGATTAGAGCTCAGACCTGGAACAAGTAAACTTAGTGAATATTTATAGAATTCTTCACCCCAGGTCCACAGAACATACATTTTTCTCAGCATCACATTACACCTATTTCGAAAGTGACCATATAATTGGAAGTAAATCACTCTTTAACATTTGCATCGTATTTCACAGACTTGAATGAAATATTGGTTGGCTGTTTGTTATTTTCTTCTCTTATTCCTTCCTGTCTCCACTGTTAAGCACAATTATCTGCAAAAAAGAGGTTTTAATACCTATTTTTAGATTGCATTCCTGCCTGGGCAATAGAGCAAGACTCCTGTTTCTCTCCCCCTTTTTCTTTCTGTTTCTCTTTCTTTCATAAAAAAAAATCACATTAATTAATTATGATTTTTAATTTACCTAGTTTTTGTTTTACAAATAGTGCTGGATATTTTGAAAACCTGACAATATGCTTTCCATGCTACTCTCATGCAGATATAATGTTTGAGGCTAAACTAACACCCATACAACCTTTCTCTTCTTTTCAGTCCTTATACTTATCTCAATGCCTTTCCCTGGGTCTTTTTACTCCCGCAGTAGCGTAAGGCTATTTTCAACAACAAAAAAGTAAAATATGTAATCATAGGCTTTCTTCAAATAAAACCTCCTCCTCTTCCATTTGCATTCCTTGGATATGAACTTATTTGATGTCCCAAAAGCCAAATAGTAAAAGCAGAGTCTGGAAGATAGTAATGGATGTAATATTTCCGTGCATACATGTTATTAATGACCGGCAGTATTTCACTTTACAGTTTGAGAATTTCTTTCACATTTTCTCTTTAATCTTCACCCTAACCTGTAAGATATTAATGCATGAGTGATTGGTAATATTACCATATAAACGTGACTTACCTTGACATAGAATTTTATGGTCATATAAAAATAAAGGGCATCAGCTGTGAATTTCTGAATTATTTAGATTGTTATTATGATTTCATTATTTGGATCCAGAAGGGACTTTACAGATCCTCTGGACCAACTACTTCATTTTCCAGAGAGGAAAAAAATTGCCAGTGAGTTAGTGGCAGAGCCAGGGCAAGAAATGCAGTCCTGATTCCTATTTCAGATATCTCTCCAAAAAAAAAAGAACTTAGTTGTCCGAGTCCTTGTCTAGAATATTTTCTACTATGATATGTTGCCTCTGAAAGCTAGAAGATGATTTATTGAAGGCTTCCTACCACTTAAATTTTTATTACTATAAAAGCAGGAGGTGCGCATTGCAGAAAGTTCTAAAAGATAGAAAACCAACACAACAACAAAAATCCTAATATTCACAAGTCACACACAATGTATTAGCGTATATCATTCCAGACATTTTTCTAGGTCGTATATGTACATGTAGCTAATTTTTTTAACTAAAATCCTATATTACATATGCCATAGTCTAATCTGTTTGCTTTGTTCATCTGTGTTTTCATGACAGTACGTTTCAATTTTATTTTGTTGATTGTTTGTTTGAGACAGAGTCTCGTTCTGTCACTTAGGCTGGTGTGCAGTGGTGCAATCTTGGCTTCCTGCACCCTCTACGTCCCAGATTCAAGCGATTCTCCCATCTCAGCCTCCCAAGTAGCTGGGACTATAGGTGTGCGCCACTGTGCCTGGCTAATATTTGTATTTTTTTGTAGACGTGGGGTTTTACCATACTGGCCAGGCTGGTCTTGAACTCCTGACCTCAAGTGATCTGCCCTCCTCAGCCTCCCAAAGTGCTGGAATTAGAGGCATGAGCCACCACTCCTGGCCCATTTCCATTTTATATGATTCACGGACCATATTTAAATTTCCTAAATTATCCCCCAAAATATGGGGGATATTGATATATCAATTTTTTTTAATCAGGGTCCAATATAGGAGCATATGTTGCACCTAGTTGTTATATCCCTTAAGTCTCTTTTAGTCTAGCTCATCCTCCTCTACTTTTGTTTCACGACACTGATTTGAAGAGACTACCTTTGTTTTGCAGAATGTCAAACTTTTTCGATTTGCCTTGTTGTGTTGTGGTGTTATTTAACTTGTTCCCCTAGTCCTTATATTTCCCATAAGCTGGAATAAGTTTTAAAGGCTGAATTCAGGCTGGATGCAGTGGCTCATATCTGTTATCCCAGCACTTTGGGAGGCCAGGGTGAATCACTTGAGGTCAGGAGTTTGAGACCAGCCTGACCAACATGGTGAAACCCCATGTCTACTAAAAATACAAAAATTAGGTAGTACACCCCTGTAGTCCTGACTACTCACACAGAGGAAACCCTGCCTCAAAACCAAAACTAAACTAAAATCAACTCAGTTTAAATTGTGTTACACCGAGTTCTCTTTACAGCTGATGTGGTGACAGATGCTTTCTCTAGCCTCTATTTATTTAATACAGTAAAATGATTACTCGCTTTTCTTTTTTTTTTTTTTTTTTTAATTTTTATTGGATTTTAGGTTTTGGGGTACATGAGCAGAGCATGCAAGACAGTTGTGTAGGAACACACATGGCAGTGTGCTTTTCTTTCCTTCTCCCCTTCATTCACATTTGGCATTTCTCCCCAGGCTATACCTCCCCACCTCCCCCTCCCACTGGCCCTCCCCTTTTCCCCCCAATAGACCCCAGTGTTTACTACTCCCCTTTCTGTGTCCATGTGTTCTCATTTTTCATCACCCGCCTATGAGTGAGAATATGCGGTGTTCATTTTCTGTTCTTGTGTCAGGTTGCTGAGGATGATGTTCTCCAGATTCATCCATGTCCCTACAAACGACACAAACTTATCATTTCTGATTGCTGCATAATATTCCATGGTGTATATGTGCCACATTTTTCCAATCCAGTCTATTATCAATGGGCATTTTGGTTGATTCCAGGTCTTTGCTATTGTAAACAGTGCTGCAATGAACATTCGTGTACATGTGTCCTTATAGTAGAACGATTTATAGTCTTTTGGATATATACCCAGTAATGGGATTGCTGGGTCAAATGCAATTTCTATTTCTAAGGCCTTGAGGAATCGCCACACCGTCTTCCACAATGGTTGAACTAATTTACACTCCCACCAACAGTGTAAAAGTGTTCCTTTTTCTCCACATCCTCTCCAGCATCTGTTGTCTCCAGATTTTTTAATGATCGCCATTCTAACTGGCGTGAGATGGTATCTCAATGTGGTTTTGATTTGCATCTCTCTGATGACCAGTGACGATGAGCATTTTTTCATATGATTGTTGGCCTCATATATGTCTTCTTTCGTAAAGTATCTGTTCATATCCTTTGCCCACTTTTGAATGGGCTTGTTTGTTTTTTTCCTGTAAATCCGTTTGAGTTCTTTGTAAATTCTGGATATCAGCCCTTTGTCAGATGGGTAAACTGCAAAAATTTTTTCCCATTCTGTTGGTTGCCGATCCACTCTAGTGACTGTTTCTTTTGCCGTGCAGAAGCTGTGGAGTTTCATTAGGTCCCATTTGTCTATTTTGGCTTTTGTTGCCAATGCTTTTGGTGTTTTGGTCATGAAGTCCTTGCCTACTCCTATGTCCTGGATAGTTTTGCCTAGATTTCCTTCTAGGGTTTTTATCGTGCAAGGTCTTATGTTTAAGTCTTTAATCCATCTGGAGTTAATTTTAGTGTAAGGTATCAGGAAGGGGTCCAGTTTCTGCTTTCTGCACATGGCTAGCAGTTTTCCCAACACCATTTGTTAAACAGGGAATCCTTTCCCCCTTGCTTGTTTTTGTCAGGTTTATCAAAGATTGTATAGTTGTAGATATGTTGTGTTGCCTCCAGTGCCTCTGTTTTGTTCCATTGGTCTATATCTCTGTTTTGGTACCAGTACCATGCTGTTTTGATTACTGTAGCCTTGTAGTATAGTTTGAAATCCGGTAGTGTGATGCCCCCCGCTGTGTTCTTTTGCTTAGAATTGACTTGGCTATGAGGGCTCTCTTTTGGTTCCATATGAAGTTCGTGGTGGTTTTTTCCCGTTCTGTGAAGAAAGTCAATGGTAGCTTGATGGGGATAGCGTTGATTCTGTAAATTACTTTGGGCAGTATAGCCATTTTCACGATGTTAATTCTTCCTAACCATGAACATGGAATGTTTCTCCATCTGTTTGTGTCCTCTCTGATTTCGTTGAGGAGTGGTTTGTAGTTCTCCTTGAAGAGGTCCCTTACGTTCCTTGTGAGTTGTATTCCAAGGTATTTTATTCTTTTTGTAGCAATTGTGAATGGCAGTTCGTTCTTGATTTGGCTTTCTTTAAGTCTGTTATTGGTGTAGAGGAATGCTTGTGATTTTTGCACATTGATTTTATATCCTGAGACTTTGCTGAAGTTGCTTATCAGTTTCAGGAGTTTTTGGGCTGAGGTGATGGGGTCTTCTAGGTATACTATCATGTCGTCTGCAAATAGAGACAATTTGGCTTCCACCTTTCCTATTTGAATACCCTTTATTTCTTTTTCTTGCCTGATTGCTCTGGCTAGAACTTCCAGAACTATATTGAATAGGAGTGGTGAAAGAGGGCATTCTTGTCTAGTGCCAGATTTCAAAGGGAATGCTTCCAGTTTTTGCCCATTCAGTATGATATTGGCTGTTGGTTTGTCATAAATAGCTTTTATTACTTTGAGATACGTTCCATCGATACCGAGTTTATTGAGGGTTTTTAGCATAAAGGGCTGTTGAATTTTGTCAATGCCTTCTCTGCGTCAATTGAGATAATCATGTGGTTTTTGTTTTTGGTTCTGTTTATGTGGTGAATTACGTTGATAGACTTGCGTATGTTGAACCAGCCTTGCATCCCCAGGATGAATCCTACTTGATCATGGTGAATAAGTTTTTTGATTTGCTGTTGCATTCGGCTTGCCAATATTTTATTGAAGATTTTTGCATCTATGTTCATCATGGATATTGGCCTGAAGTTTCTTTTCTTGTTGGGTCGCTGCCGGGTTTTGGTATCAGAATGATGTTGGTCTCGTAAAATGATTTGGGAAGTATTCCCTCTTTTTGGATTGTTTGAAATAGTTTTAGAAGGAATGGTACCAGCTCCTCTTTGTGTGTCTGGTAGAATTCGGCTGTGAACCCGTCTGGACCTGGGCTTTTTTTGTGTGGTAGGCTCTTAATTGCTGCCTCGACTTCTGACCTTGTTATTGGTCTATTTATAGTTTCAGCTTCCTCCTGGTTTAGGCTTGGGAGGACACAGGAGTCCAGGAATTTATCCATTTCTTCCAGGTTTACTAGTTTATGTGCATAGAGTTGCTTGTAATATTCTCTGATGATGGTTTGAATTTCTGTGGAATCTGTGGTGATTTCCCCTTTATCATTTTTTATTGCATCTATTTGGTTGTTCTCTCTTTTATTTTTAATCAATCTGGCTAGTGGTCTATTTTGTTGATCTTTTCAAAAAACCAGCTCTTGGATTTATTGATTTTTTGAAGGGTTTTTCGTGTCTCAATCTCCTTCAGCTCAGCTCTGATCTTAGTTATTTCTTGTCTTCTGCTGGGTTTTGAGTGTTTTTGATCTTGCTCCTCTAGCTCTTTCAATTTTGATGATAGGGTGACAATTTTGGATCTCTCCATTCTCCTCATATGGGCACTTATTGCTATATACTTTCCTCTAGAGACTGCTTTAAATGTGTCCCAGAGGTTCTGGCATGTAGTGTCTTCATTCTCATTGGTTTCGAAGAACTTCTTTATTTCTCACTTCATTTCATTGTTTACCCAGTGAACATTCAAGAGCCAGTTGTTCAGTTTCCATGAAGCTGTGCGGTTCTGGGTTGGTTTCTGTATTCTCCCCGGCTCATCTTCCTGTGTAGCTAGGACCACAGGCATGTGCTATCATACCGAGCTAATTTTTAAAATTCACTTGTAGAGACGGAGTCTCATTTTATTGCTCAGGCTGGTCTTGAACTCCTTGGCTCAAGTAAGTGATTGACCCACCTTGGCTTGCCAGAGTGTTGGGATTACAGGTGTGAGCCACTGCACCCAGCCCAAGTTTTTAATATAATCTATCTTACATTTGATGCTAATTTCATGCCGTTTATAAATGTAAATTCGAATTTTATTAGAAAAATGTTTAAAATACAACACTGTCATCCAGGCTAGAGTTCAGCGATGCAATTACAGCTCACTGCAGCCTCGACCTCTTGGGCTCAAGCAATCTTCCCACCTCGGTTTCCCAAGTAACTGGAACAACAGGCATGTGCCATCAAGCTCAGCTAATTTGTAAATTTTTTGTACAGATGGGGTCTCGAATGTACAGCTAGTCTTGAATGCCTGGGCTCAGGTGATCCTCCTGCCTTGACCTCCCAAACTGCTGGGATTACAGGCATGAGCCACTGCATCCGGCCACAACAGGTTTTAAAATTTCTTGAGGAAAACTCTCATTTTTTTTAACTTGTAGCTGGCATATTATTTCAACAGGAGTGACATATCTACCAGGTACTAATAATTAAACAGTACCAGGTACCAGCACACACATACCCCAACTCTACTCATACCATTAGGATAGCTGTCTTTTCCTATTCTGAAGTAGTTCAACTATTATACATTTAGACTATAAACTTTAATTTATTTACATATTATAGGCCACTAAGATTTTTTTTTAAATTTTCAACTGAAGTTAAATTTTACCTTGTTACCAGATTCAGAAGAAGATGTTGTTGAAACTCCTGCAGTGTCTCATGATGAACATACACACCAAGAAATAAAGGGCCGAAAAACACTGGCAACTCCTGCAGTTCGCCGTCTGGCAATGGAAAACAATGTAAGTTTTCTTAATTTTAGACCCGAGAAAGTGTACATTTTATCTCTGAAAAATTAGCTAACTCTCTTGTGACGAAATGGCTCAATGATTTAAGGAAACATGAAAATATTTGCTACTGAAAAATGATAGTTGCATAAAAGTACATGGGAGAAATGAGAAGTTGTAAACTTATTACTTAACATCAGTTGAGCAGTGTGGTTTTATTCTTTCTCGGAGCCTAATAATAGTAAGAGCTACCATTTATTGAGCATTTGTAAATGCCAGGTCTTAGGTCAGGTGTTCTAGAGGCACAGCACGAGATAGGAATTTGAAGGAGGGAAAACCTGTCAGGGGAATGAAGGAAGCAGAATAAGAAAGGAAAGAGAAGGGAAATTGGCCAGACATGGATATGGTATCAAGCATCTGGTCTGTCCCAAAGCTTGCCGTTGTCCAAAGGCAAAAAAGGACTGACTTGAGGGAGAAGGGGAGAACCACAGAATTACTGCTTTGAGGCAAGGAGGCTGGCCTTTTGTATTTCCTCTGCAAGTCATTGACTGAATGGAGGGTGGAGTGCCAGGCAAGGTGGCTCCCTGGTACTGTGATAGGTATTCGCATATTATCTCATTTAACCCTGTAAAATAAGGATCTATTTTAAGACTTGGAGGGTTTAAGTAACTAGTCTGAGGTCATACAACTAACAGAGCAGCAGAGCCAGAATTCAAAAGTGAGTCTATATCACTCCACATCCTGTGCTCTTACATGTTATATATGGCCGCAACAATCATTGCCTCCATTATTTGAGCACATGTGTGTCAGACACTATAGACACATTACCTGTAATCCTCACAAGGACCCTGCAGGAAGGTTGATTGATTTATCTAAAACCAAGTAAGCTGAACTAGGGATTGGAACACAAATCTGCCTGGTTCTGAAGTCTCGATACTTTCCGCTGTGCCCACAATGAGGCTCTTCGTTTGTCTCTTTTTGAGAAAAGTAAAGTTGCTGTGGAAAAAATTAAAGTTTATGTTTTGTGAAATATGTAATAGAGTCATTAAAATATTCAAATCCTTTCAGCCAGTTATCCTGCCACTAGGAAACTATCCCAAGGAAATAGGATACATCCTTCCTTGTATTTTATATAACCAAAAATTAGAAGATGCATATGTGTTCAAAGTCAAATTATGTTCTGTGCGCTTCATGAAATTGTATGTAGCCATTAAATGCATTTAAGTATGAAGACCATTTAGCATAGCAGAAAATAGATATAGTAACATGGAATGCTATGTTATTAAGGGCATCGGATGAAATAGTGATTTAACATATTGCTTTGAATTCTATAAAGCATTTAAATTTTTTTTCTTAATAATACAGAAAGAAATACATAGAAGAAATGTGTGATTTCGCTTTCCTAAAACCCTCCCTAAAGATGTGTGTAGAATACTTGGGTAGAGTACTTGTATGATCACTAAAAATTAAATATAAGATTTAGGTGGGGGAGGACTCAAGATGGCGCTGTGAGAACAACCCAGGATTGGAGTTCTCATTGTGTCTGCGGAGAGGTGAGTCTGAGCTGCATTTCCAGACTGATCTTTGTTGCTCACGGAACGGGGAAATTCCCAAGTGAAGAGGAGACGCGGGACGCCAGGCAGATATTCCGCCTGGCGAAGCCGGCAGCCGGGGTGGCGGCGGCCGGCCCTACCCAGCGCTCCCCACAGGGCGCACTTGTCCGGGTGCCCCGTTGAACCAGCAACTGGAGACGTGAGAGGGCTGGACTTGAGACTGAGCTAGACTTGAACAGTGGGCCAGCCCAGGGGATTGCAGGAACAGAGCGTTAGGATTGGCCCAGTGGGACGAACAAAACCGCGATTTCAAACAAGCCCCGTGCAGAGGGCCCAAGACGCTCTGAGGGGAAGGGGCGGCCACCATTACCGAGGTAACCCGCCCCAACTGAGATACACGCCCATTGCTGACGCAGCCAGCCGTTGCCGAGGCAACCCGTCCCTACTGAGATACACGGCCACTGCTGACGCAGCCAGCCGTTGCCAAGGCAACCCGTCCCTACTGAGATACACGCCCACTGCTGACGCAGCCTGCCGTCGCCGAGGCAACCCGCTACAACAGAGAGACTCCGCCGCAGGGCGTGGCGGAGAACAGCAGAACAGCGGAGCCAGGGCGAGCCTCACAACAGCAGGGCGGAGCCTCGGCAGGCAAACAGTGGCTAGTCTGCATCCTAGCTGGGCAGGACCTCAACGGACATCCAAAAATAAAGCCCAAACCCCTCAACACAGCATTTGAGAAAAAAAAAGGGTTTTTTTAATGAGCTCTGTTGCAGCAGAATCAAACATAGCAGCCTAACAGCCCTGAATGAACAACACAGCTCACAGCTCAGCAATTAAACCCCTATAAAGTACAAACTGTCTCCTCAAGCAGCTCCCTGACCCCTCTATATCCAAAAGACTGACATTAGGCAGGCACCATCCTGGGACAAAGATAGCAGAAAAAGAAACTGGTAGCATCCCTCGCTGTGCCACAGCTGCTAGAGGTGCACCCCAGACAAGCAGGGTCTGGAGTGGACCTCAGCACTCATACAGCGAAGGGGCTAGACTGGTAGAAGGAAAACCAAGCAACAGAAATACTTCATCATCAACATTCAGGGTGTCCACTCAGAGACCCAATTGAAAAGTCAGCAACTACGCAGACGACCAGCGGACAAATCCGCAAAGATGGGAAGAAACCAGCGCAAAAAGGAGGAAAACACCCGAAACCAGAACACCTCGCCTCCTAGAAAGGACCAAAACTCCTCACCAGCAAGGGAACACAGCTGGACGGAGAATGACTGTGACGAAATGACGGAATTAGACTTCAGAAGATGGATAATGAGAAACTTTTGTGAGCTAAAAGATCATGTATTAAATCAATGCAAAGAAACTAAGAACCTTGAGAAAAGATTTGAAAAAAGATTGGAGGAAATGATAACAAGAATGGATAACTTAGAGAGGAATATGAATGAATTAAAGGAGCTGAGAAACACAATACGAGAACTTCGCGAAGCATGCACAAGTTTCAATAGCCGAATTGACCAAGCAGAAGAAAGAATATCTGAAGTCGAAGACCAACTCAATGAAATAAAACGAGAAACCAAGATTAGAGAAAAAAGCGCAAAAAGGAATGAACAAAGTCTCCAAGAAATGTGGGACTATGTGAAAAGACCTAACCTGCGTTTGATAGGTGTACCAGAAGGGGACGCAGAGAATGAATCCAAGCTGGAAAATACTCTTCAGGACATCATCCAGGAAAATTTCCCCCACCTAGCAAGACAGGCCAACACTCAATTGCAGGAAATTCAGAGAACACCACAAAGATATTCTGCAAGAAGAGCAACCCCAAGGCACATAATCGTCAGATTCAATAGGGTTGAAATAAAGGAGAGAATACTAAGGGCAGCCAGAGAGAAAGGTCGGGTCACCCACAAAGGGAAGCCCATCAGACTCACAGCAGATCTCTCGGCAGAAACACTACAAGCCAGAAGAGAGTGGGGGCCAATATTCAACATTCTTAAAGAAAAGAACTTTCAACCCAGAATCTCATATCCAGCCAAACTGAGCTTCAGAAGTGAAGGAAAAATAAAATCCTTTGCGAACAAGCAAGTACTCAGAGATTTTGTCACCACCAGGCCTGCTTTACAAGAGCTCCTAAAAGAGGCACTACACATAAAAAGGATCAACCAGTACCAGCCATTCCAAAATCACACTGAATGCTAAAGAGCATCAACATAATGAAGAATCTACAACAACTAACAGGCAAAACAGCCACTTAGCATCAAAATGGCAGTATCAAATTCACACATAACAATATTAACCCTAAATGTAAATGGACTAAATGCACCAATCAAAAGACACAGACTGGCAAATTGGATAAAAATCCAAAACCCATCAGTGTGCTGTATCCAGGAAACCCATCTCACATGCAAGGATACACAAAGGCTCAAAATAAAGGGATGGAAGAAGATTTACCAAGCAAATGGAAAGCAAAAAAAAGCAGGAGTTGCAATTCTCATCTCCGATAAAATAGACTTTAAAGCAACAAAGATCAAAAGAGACAAAGAAGGCCATTACATAATGGTAAAAGGATCGATACAACAAGAAGAGCTAACGATCCTAAACATATATGGACCCAACGCAGGAGCACCCAGATACATAAGGCAAGTTCTTAAGGACTTACAAAAGGACTTAGACTCTCACACAATAATAGTGGGAGACTTTAACACTCCACTGTCAATACTAGACAGATCTACCAGACAAAAAATCAACAAGGATATCCAGGGCTTGAACTCAGACCTGGAGCAAGCAAACCTGATAGACATTTACAGAACTCTCCACCCCAAATCCACAGAATACACATTCTTCTCAGCACCACATCACACCTACTCTAAAATTGACCACATAATTGGAAGTAAAGCACTGCTCAACAAATGCAAAACAACTGAAATCATAACAAACAGCCTCTCAGACCATAGTGCAATCAAGTTAGAACTCAGAATTCAGAAACAGACCCAGAACCGCACAGCTTCATGGAAACTGAACAACTGGCTCTTGAATGTTGACTGGGTAAACAACGAAATGAAGGCAGAAATAAAGAAGTTCTTCGAAACCAATGAGAACGAAGACACAACGTGCCAGAACCTCTGGGACACATTTAAAGCAGTCTCTAGAGGAAAGTATATAGCAATAAGTGCCCATATGAGGAGAATGGAGAGATCCAAAATTGACACCCTATCGTCAAAATTGAAAGAGCTAGAGGACCAAGACCAAAAAAACTCAAAACCCAGCAGAAGACAAGAAATAACTAAGATCAGAGCTGAGCTGAAGGAGATTGAGACACAAAAAACCCTTCAAAAAATCAATAAATCCAACAGCTGGTTTTTTGAAAAGATCAACAAAATAGACAGACCACTAGCCAGATTGATTAAAAATAAAAGAGAGAACAACCAAATAGATGCAATAAAAAATGATAAAGGGGAAATCACCACAGATTCCACAGAAATTCAAACCATCATCAGAGAATATTACAAACAACTCTATGCGCATAAACTAATAAACCTGGAAGAAATGGACAAATTCCTGGATTCCTGTGTCCTCCCAAGCCTAAACCAGGAGGAAGCTGAAACTATGAATAGACCAATAACAAGGTCTGAAGTTGAGGCAGCAATTAAGAGCCTACCACACAAAAAAAGCCCAGGTCCAGACGGGTTCACAGCCGAATTCTACCAGACACACAAGGAAGAGCTGGCACCATTTCTTCTAAAACTATTTCAAACAATCCAAAAAGAGGGAATCCTTCCCAAATCATTTTAGGAGACCAACATCATTCTGATACCAAAACCCGGCAGAGACCCAACAAGAAAAGAAAACTTCAGACCAATATCCATGATGAACATAGATGCAAAAATCTTCAATAAAATATTGGCAAGCCGATTGCAACAGCAAATCAAAAAACTTATTCATCATGATCAAGTAGGATTCATCCCGGGGATGCAAGGCTGGTTCAACATACGCAAGTCTATAAATGTAATTCACCACATAAACAGAACCAAAAACAAAAACCACGTGATTATCTCAATTGACGCAGAGAAGGCATTTGACAAAATTCAACAGCCCTTTATGCTAAAAACCCTCAATAAACTCGGTATCGATGGAACGTATCTCAAAGTAATAAAAGCTATTTATGACAAACCAACAGCCAATATCATACTGAATGGGCAAAAACTGGAAGCATTCCCTTTGAAATCTGGCACTAGACAAGGATGCCCTCTTTCACCACTCCTATTCAATATAGTACTGGAAGTTCTAGCCAGAGCAATCAGGCAAGAAAAAGAAATAAAGGGTATTCAAATAGGAAAGGTGGAAGCCAAATTGTCTCTATTTGCAGACGACATGATAGTATACCTAGAAGACCCCATCGCCTCAGCCCAAAAACTCCTGAAACTGATAAGCAACTTCAGCAAAGTCTCAGGATATAAAATCAATGTGCAAAAATCACAAGCATTCGTCTACACCAATAACAGACTTAAAGAAAGCCAAATCAAGAGCGAACTGCCATTCGCAATTGCTACAAAAAGAATAAAATACCTTGGAATACAACTCACAAGGAACGTAAGAGACCTCTTCAAGGAGAACTATAAACCACTGCTCAACGAAATCAGAGAGGACACAAACAGATGGAGAAACATTCCATGTTCATGGTTAGGAAGAATTAATATCGTGAAAATGGCTATACTGCCCAAAGTAATTTACAGAATCAACGCTATCCCCATCAAGCTACCATTGACTTTCTTCACAGAACTGGAAAAAACCACCATGAACTTCATATGGAACCAAAAGAGAGCCCGCATAGCCAAGTCAATTCTAAGCAAAAAGAACACAGCGGGGGGCATCACACTACCGGATTTCAAACTATACTACAAGGCTACAGTAATCAAAACAGCATGGTACTGGTACCAAAACAGAGATATAGACCAATGGAACAAAACAGAGGCACCGGAGGCAACACAACATACATACAACTATACAATCTTTGATAAACCTGACAAAAACAAGCAATGGGGAAAGGATCCCATGTTTAACAAATGGTGTTGGGAAAACTGGCTAGCCATGTGCAGAAAGCAGAAACTGGACCCCTTCCTGACACCTTACACTAAATTTAACTCCAGATGGATTAAAGACTTAAACATAAGACCTGGCACCATAAAAACCCTAGAAGAAAATCTAGGCAAAACTATCCAGGACATAGGAGTAGGCAAGGACTTCATGAACAAAACACCAAAAGCATTGGCAACAAAAGCCAAAATAGACAAATGGGAGCTAATGAAACTCCACAGCTTCTGCACGGCAAAAGAAACCGTCACTAGAGTGGATCGGCAAACAACAGAATGGGAAAAAATTTTTGCAGTTTACCCATCTGACAAAGGGCTGATATCCAGAATTTACAAAGAACTCAAACAGATTTACAGGAAAAAAACAAACAAGCCAATTCAAAAGTGGGCAAAGGATTTGAACAGATACTTTACGAAAGAAGACATATATGAGGCCAACAATCATATGAAAAATTGCTCATCGTCACTGATCATCAGAGAGATGCAAATCAAAACCACATTGAGATACCATCTCACGCCAGTTAGAATGGCGATCATTAAAAAATCTGGAGACAACAGATGCTGGAGAGGATGTGGAGAAAAAGGAACACTTTTACACTGTTGGTGGGAGTGTAAGTTAGTTCAACCATTGTGGAAGACGGTGTGGCGATTCCTTAGAAATAGAAATTCCATTTGACCCAGCAATCCCATTACTGGGTATATATCCAAAAGATTATAAATCGTTCTACTATAAGGACACATGTACACGAATGTTCATTGCAGCACTGTTTACAATAGCAAAGACCTGGAATCAACCCAAATGCCCATTGATAATAGACTGGATTGGAAAAATGTGGCACATATACACCATGGAATATTATGCAGCAATCAGAAATGATGAGTTTGTGTCGTTTGTAGGGACATGGATGAATCTGGAGAATATCATCCTCAGCAAACTGACACAAGAACAGAAAATGAAACACAGCATATTCTCACTCATAGGTGGGTGATGAAAAATGAGAACACATGGACACAGAAAGGGGAGTACTAAACACTGGGGTCTGTTGGGGGGAAAAGGGGAGGGCCAGTGGGAGGGGGAGGTGGGGAGGGATAGCCTGGGGAGAAAAGCCAAATGTGGGTGAAGGGGAGAAGAAAAGAAAGCACACTGCCATGTGTGTACCTACGCAACTGTCTTGCATGCTCTGCTCATGTACCCCAAAACCTATAATCCAATAAAAAATTTAAAAAAAAAAAAAAAAGTCGCTTGAACCTAGGAGACAGAGGTTGCAGTGAGCCGAGATGTGCCACTGCACTCCAGCCTGGCGCCTGGCGACAGAGCAAGACTCTGTCTCAAAAAAAAAAAAAATTCTGATACCTTAAGTCGCACACCCAGAAATTTTGATTTCATCAACAAACACTGTGGCTTGAGAATGGAAAGAGCTTTCAAATCTCTCCTCGATGATTCTGAGGTGCAGCCAAGATTGACCACCACTTAGCTGGAAGAATTTGAGGCTCTCACATTTCTCTGAAGTAGTATTTGCACTCAACCTGAAATTCTCTACGTGCTGGAATTCGCACCACTTCACCAGGCAGTTCCTTCTTTGACTGATGGTTCAAACTGTGAAACCTTATTTTTTCAACTGAACTGAAATTTTACTCCACACCAATTCTAACTTGCTGTCCCAGTTGCCTTGAGATCAAGTCATCCCAATCAATAAACTGTGCAGTTGATGAAAAAAAAAAAAAAAAAAAAAAAAAAAAGATTTAGGTATATCAGAAATCATCCTTTTTCTTTCATTTTGCATATTTATGAATTGAGTTTGTTTAAAATTAAGAACCAGTGGCATTTACAGTTGCTTGTAACTGCCTAAAAATTATTTGTTTAAATTTTCAGAGTCCATTTGTTGCAAACTTAGCATTTGCCTTAGTGAAGTTCTTTATTATTTTAGATATCCTTAGAGATGCACTAATACAAATGAAGTGGGGCCGATCCCTAGGAAATTAATGCATGCTATGTATGGAGAGATCATTCCAAGCTTTTATGTTTATTTGTATTTAAATAGAATTAAGTGTTTCGTATTGATCTTTCCAAACCAACTACCAGAAAAATAACTAATTTGAGAGAGCTTTTGTATTGTGATTATTTAAGCTGTTACGTTTTTAACCATCAGAGACATTGGTTTTAACATCAGAGACATTGGTCTAATATTGTTACAGCCTTTAGTTTCTCCTTAAATTCTCAGTTCTCCCTCTTCTTATACAGTCCCTAGGAATAGAAATGTTTGAGTAAGAATTATGCAAGAGATTTTAAAATACTTGAGTATAAAAATATAAGTTTTCAGCTGGGCGTATTGGCTCACGCCTGTAATCCCAGCACTTTTTGGAGGCTGAGGTGGGAGAATGGCTTGAAGCTTGTTGTTCAAGACCAGCCAGGGCAACAGTGAGATTCTGTCTCTACAAAAAAAATTTTTTTAAGTAAGTTTTCATAAATAGCTCTAGATTATATATAATATGGGTATCTGATGGTTACCACATGTACATAAAACAGTGTATACAAAAGTAATAAATGAGTACTTAAGTAGAAAATGAAAAGGTTATTTCCGTTTACTAATTTGTTAGATATATATATATGCATATTATTTTCAGTTGATCAGATTCCATTTTGAAACTTTAATAATGTTTTTAAGTAGTTGTATTTTTGGCATTAAAATATATCATTTTTTAGATTAAGCTGAGTGAAGTTGTTGGCTCAGGAAAAGATGGCAGAATACTTAAAGAAGATATCCTCAACTATTTGGAAAAGCAGACAGGAGCTATATTACCTCCTTCACCGAAAGCTGAAATTATGCCACCTCCACCAAAGCCAAAAGACATGACTATTCCCATACCTGTATCAAAACCTCCGGTATTCACAGGCAAAGACAAAACAGAGCCCATAAAAGGTAATGATAATAATAATAATAATAAAGGGTAGTTATTTTGTTTTGGGGGAATCTATCTCAGTAGATAAATGTATATAATATGGTGTTTTGAAGACTTAAGGGAAAGTTCAACTTCAGTCAGTATATAATTTTTTAATAGTAAAATAATATAGTTTTTCCAGGAAACACTCCCAATGTATATGTACTGTTTTTCTGAAGGTAATACATTAGCAGGTTTCTTCGTATACTGACAGTTGCTGTTGGAAGACACATGCAGGATATTTTAAACATTCACTATTTGTAGTTAGCTTTCAAAACAACTAGTTTTAATTTATTTATAAACTCTTGGAATGATTAACTTCCAGAAGAGTGGCTTTGCAGGAAAGCTGTTAGGGAAATATATGGCTTGCATTCTTTTGCATTTTTTATATAACACAGCATTTAAAGCAGTTACCTGCTACATTATTGCATTTGCGACTGAGTGTCATGATGCAGTCAATGTTCCAGCTTTAAAATTAGTGACTTCCAATATAATGTAATGTAATGTAATGAAGAGAGTGTTGTGAGGAAAGGTTTAACTGAGAAAGGAAAGAACATTAGAGAACCTTCCATTTTAGCTTTTCTTTTGTTTTTCTTTCTTTTTTTTTTTTTTTGAGATTGAATCTGGCTTTGTCACCCAGGCTGGAGTGCAGTGGCGTGACCTCTGCTCACTGCAGTCTCTGCCTCCTGGGTTCAACGACTTTAGTTTCTTAAATAAAAAAAAATAATAATGACGGGATTTAAGAATTTAAATAAATGAATAACAATTGAATGCTTTCAGGATTTCAGAAAGCAATGGTCAAGACTATGTCTGCAGCCCTGAAGATCCCTCATTTTGGTTATTGTGATGAGGTTGACCTTACTGAACTGGTTAAGCTCCGAGAAGAATTAAAACCCATTGCTTTTGCTCGGGGAATTAAACTCTCCTTTATGCCTTTCTTCTTAAAGGTGAGATTTCATTCATTGCAAGCAAGGCTTGAGTAAGACATTTATTTGTTTGTTTGTTTGTTTGTTTGTTTGTTTTTTGAGATGGAGTTTTGCTCTTTTCACCCAGGCTGGAGTGCAATGGTGCAATCTCAGCTCACCGCAACCTCTGCCTCCTGGGTTCAAACAATTCTGTTGCCTCAGCCTCCCGAGTAACTGGGATTACAGGCACCTGCCACCATGCCCAGTTAATTTTGTGTTTTTAGTAAAGACAGGGTTTCACCATGTCGGCCATACTGGTCTCACACTGCTGACCTCAGGTGATCCACTCCCCTCAGCTTCCTAAAGTGCTGGGATTACAAGCATGAGCCACCACATCTGGCCCCCAAGTAGGACATTTAAATTTGGCTTTGCCAACATGCAATAGGCTTGAATAAAAATATTACTTCTCACAACATCATATAGTTAGAAAATGTGCCATTTCTTTGTTTCAAAGGAAATCATGAAATTGAAATTTCTCTATCGTATTTTTAGCCACTTAGCTAGAGACAATTCTGCCAGTGAAGTAAAGCCTTTAATCTTAAAAGGATCACTCCAGCCAAGTCCTGGTTTGAACTAAAATGAGACTTGATATTGATTTTGTAATATCACTGACATATTAATATTTGTTCTTGTTTGCTCAACAAACATATCGAGGTTCCTGGGAATCATTTCTAGTGCTAAGCCTTGGGACCTTTATAGATGGAGTAAGACCATCAGCTGACCTTGAGCAGCTTACAGTCTAGCTCATATTAGTGGCTGTGCAGCAGCTACCAGGTGCCAGGCTCCATACTAAGCATGCTGTATACATTATCTCTTAATTCTCAGAGTAACTCTGACACGTAAATATTACTCTCCTCACTTTCGATTTAAGGAAATTGGAGCTCAGAGAAGTTAATTAATTCAATAAGGACTTACAGCTAACAAGTGGAGAAGCTCTTTCAGGTTCTGGTCTGTTTCACTTGGAGGGACATACTGATGTCTCTAATGCCAGCATGTTCAGCCCTTTCTCTGCACTGTACCAAGACTGGTCTTCCATAAATCAAATTATTGTCATATTCTCTGATTCTTTTCAGTGGTTCCCCGTTCATTGCCTTTAGGATAATTTCCATACTCCTTAGTGTGGCATACAAATGCATTATAAGTCTCTGCTGCCTGCCTCTCCGTTCTTATCTCCCTCATATTAAGCTACCCGTAATTGCTGGAATACACAATTCCACCTGAAGTGTTCCTTCCTGATCAAACACCTGCAAATCCCAAACTGTGGTCAGGAACAGACTCCTTCTGTGGCTGTCACTATTTGAATTAAATACTCCTGTTTCCCACTGTTACTTACCTCAGTGCCTTGTGAGTGCTTACTCAGTTTTCTCTTTACTTACTGAGCACTGAGCCTCGTGAGGCAGAAACTGTTCTCCTTTATCTCCCCCCCTCTTTTTTTTTTTTTTTGAGGAGTTTTGTTGTTGTTGCCCAGGCTGGAGTGCAACGGCATGATCTTGGCTCACTGAAACCACTGCCTCCCAGGTTCAAGCGATTCTCCTGCCTCAGCCTCCTGAGTAGCTGGGATTACAGGCATGTGCAACCACACCCAACTAATTTTTATAATTTTTAGTAAAGACAGGTTTTCATCATGTTGGTCAGGCTGGTCTTCAACTCCCAACCTCAGATGTAATCTGCCCACCTCGTTTTTTTTTTTTTTTTTTTTTAGAAAGAGTCTGCTCTGTTGCCCAGGCTGGAGTGCAGTGGCTCAATCATAGCTCACTGCAACCTTGAACTCCTGGGCTCAAGTGATCTTCTACCTCAGCCTCCCAAGAAGCTGGGACCACAGGTGTGCACCATCACACCTGGCTAATTTTTTTATTTTTAATAGAGATGTATCTCACAATGTTACCAGGCTGGTCTTACAAGGATGAGCTACCAGTCCTGGCTATTTTGTTTTAAAATGAAATGTAAGTTTCAGAACATTCAAAAAAAAAAATACTACACAGTATTATAGAGGGGGAAAAATGACCTAATCCATTGACACATATCTTGTATTTTTCTTGGACAAAATTTGGATTATATTCAAAACACTATATGTGTAACAGTTTAGACTAATTTTAGTTAGGGGTTTTTAGATAAAGACTACTAAAATTACAGTTATTGAATCAAATGCTTACTAAAACTTTCAAGTTGGCTGGGCACAGTGGCTCACGACTGTATAATCCCAACACTTTAGGAGGCCAAGGCAGGCAGATTGAGCTCAGGAATTCAAGACCAGCCTGGGCAACATAGTGAAACCCCATCTCTACAAAAAATGCACAAATAACCTGGGCATGGTGGCATGCACCTGTAGTTCCAGCTACTCGGGAGGTTGAGGTGGGAGGATCACTTGAGCCAAGGAGGTTGAGGCTACAGTGAGCTGAGATCATGCCACTGCACTCCAGCCTGGGTGACAAAGCAAGATCCTGTCTCAAAAACAAACAAGAAAAAACTTCCAAGTCGTAAAAATTAAGGAATTTGTAGCAGTTCTTTTCATTATATTTTCTTCAGTTGATCTACTCTCTTAATCTGTCCTAACGACTACAAAATGCCTCTATATATTTAAATTCTTTTTCTTTTTGATATACCATGTAATTGAGACAGAAAGATTAAACTGATGGTTGATATATCACATTTCAGCTAAAATGACGAGTTATCTCTGCCCAATAGTAATAAAATTTTCCTGCTTACGGCACATTTCCACTGACTAGCGTTGTGAATGGAGACCACTCTTCAGTAAATTCTGGATTTCAACTGGTTTGTGGGCTAACACAAAATCTTTAAATAAAATACTTAAATTATTTTATTAACTCTCTAGTTCAATAATTTGATTTTTTTTCCATTGAGACCTCTGACAAAAAGAAAAATAACACAATGCATGTAAAGAACTTTGACAGGGACCAGCCAAGGAGAGTGGGGGAGGGAATTCTGTTTAAGAATGATCTTAAGCATTTCTTCTTTGCTATCTTTTAAATTTAATAAATGCATGACCACCACATGTAAGGTGTGAACCTTGACTATTAGGTCCTGAATTGGCAGGGAAACAGATATCGAGAACATTTTAGATACACTTAGGGAAATCTGAAGATGGACAGGAGAGAAATGATATTAAGAGACTAAGGGAAGAAAAGAAAGGGAGAAGGCAGCAGAGAGGGAAAATATAAATGCTATTCGGTGCGACTTGGGCTCTAAAGTAAATGTTCAGGCCTTCGCTGCCCTTCACTTGGCCAAGGACACCAGGTAGCAAACTGGCATTTAATAGTCAGTGCACTTTGAAATCCTCATTACATGTTCTTTAGACACAGGGAAATTTGTGTTTTGATTCCTAGTGTATATTTGAACTACAGGCTTACTTCTCATGGAAATCTTAAGATTCTACATGTCAGTGAGAAAATGACCTAGAAATTAGACATTTTCGTTGGAACTTTGGCTGGTCTGTATCATTATTTTAAAAATCTCCTTGATGTTTACAGGCTACCTGACTACTTTATCTTTTATTCTTTAATGGTTAGGGTGACCTCGTTCTGCATTGCTTGAAGGTAACATTGGCAGTAATGTGACTAGGTACATGTAGACATGAAATTAAATTAGCATAAATAAGAGTTCTCTCTCTCCCTCCTTTTATACTTCTTATTGTTTCAAATTCCCTCTCCCTTCTGAGTTAAAAGTGCTAAAATTGCATTCTTTTTCTTTCCAACAGGCTGCTTCCTTGGGATTACTACAGTTTCCTATCCTTAATGCTTCTGTGGATGAAAACTGCCAGAATATAACATACAAGGTTGGCTATACAGAGTGGAAATGTTCTTATTGTTAGTAGAAGATGGGCAAATGTGCTTGTAGGTTAGAGAGACTTCCATTGTATCTCAAATAGTGATCTTTTTTAGACTGGAATTAAAGGCATGGGGTAAAACATTAAACTTACTTATAATTTATTGTTACTGTTTGTTTTTGTGGTTAATGATACTGTTTAGATAAGAAGATTCTTTAAACCATTTTTAAGCTTTTTGTTTTGTTTTGTTTTCTGCTTAAAATAATGGAAATATATAAGCTGTATGGCAGTAGATGTTACCTACTCTACTTGCCCTCCCAAAAAGAAGCAGCCCTTTCACAATTGAATTCCTGGAATATTATTATTATTATTATTATTATTATTGGCAGAGTCTTACTCTGTCACCAGTTTGGAGTGCAGTGTTGTAGTCGTGGCTCACTGCAACTTTGACCTCTCAGGCTCAAGCAATCCTCCTGCCTCAGCCTCCTGTGTAGCTGGGACTACAGGCATGCACCACTATGTCCAACTAATTTTTAAAATTTTTGTAGAGACGGGTGTCATTATGTTGCCCAGGCTGGTCTTTAACTTCTGGGCTCAAGCAATCCTCCTGCCTTAGCCTCCAAAGTGCTGGGATGACAGGTATAATCCCACTGTGCCTGGCAAAGTCCTAAAATTTTAAGATTAAGAATAATTTCAGTGAGAAAAGTAATAAAAGTTTGAATTGAATATATATGTGTTTTATCACATATCTTCTGTGTGGAGTGAAAGTTTCTTAGGATTGAGAACTCTTTTTGAGATGCCATTCCTTATATTTACTTTTCATTAGGAATGTACAACCAGAGGCTGGGCACAGTGACTCAAGTTTATAATCCCAGCAAGCTGAGGGGGGGGTCAATCACCCGAGGTCAGGAGTTGGAGACTAGCCTGGCCAACATGGTGAAACCCCATCTCTACTAAAAATACAAAAATTAGCCAGGCATGGTGGCCCACGCCTATAGTCCCAACTACCCAGGAGGCTGAGGCGGGAGAATCACTTGAACCCAGGAGACAGAGGTTGCATTGAGCCGAGATTGCGCTACTGCACTCCATCGTGGATGACGAGAGCAAACCTCCATCTCAAAAAGAGAATTAAAAGAAAAGAAATGTACAACCAGAAAGTGAGCTTAGATATTCTGGGAGGTGAGACCCTATATGGTTAATAGAGTCAGATGTATTAATTTTTATTTTTATTTTAGTATCTCCTGATTAAGTACATACTTGTCACAAAAATTTCGGTCAAGAAAATAATGATGTTGGCCAGGTGTGGTGGCTCCTGCCTGTAATCCCAGCACTTTGGGGAACAGAGGTGAAAGGATGGCTTGAGCCCAGGAATTCGAGACCAGCATGTGCAACAAAGTGAGGACCACCTCCATCTCCACAGAAAAAAAAATTAATAGCGGGGTGCGTGCGTGTAGTTTATGCTACCTGGGAGGGAGGCAGGAGAATTATATGATACCTGCACTCCAGCCTAGGCGACAGAGTGAAACTGTGTCTCAAAAGAAAAGAAAAAACAAGATGTTTACCCTCAATTCCATGACCCTAAGGGAGCTCACTATTTATGTTGAGACATACATCTTTCCAGGATTTCATTTTTACATACTTTTTAAAAGATATAGAATTATTCATATTTGTCTTTTTTTTTTTTTCATTGAGATGGAATCTCGCTCTGTCACGCAGGCTGGAGTGCAATGGCACGATCTCAGCTCACCGCAACCTCCACCTCCTGGGTTCAAGCAATTCTCTGCCTCAGCCTCCTGAGTAGCTGGGATTACAGGCACCCACCACCACACCCAGCTAATTTTTGTATTTTTAGTAGAGACAGGGTTTCACCATCTTGGCCAGGCTGGTCTGAACTCCTGACCTCGTGATCCACCCACCTCGGCCTCCCAAAGTGCTGGGATTACAGGTGTGAGCCCCCACACCAAGTCTCATATTTTTCTTTAAATTTCTTTTTTCTTTTTTGAGACAGGGTCTCACTCTGTTGCCTATCTAAAGTATTCCCATAGAGAATATCTATGCCGTAGTGTAATCATGGCCTCACTGCAGCCTCAATCTCCCACCTCAGCCTTCCCAATAGTTGGGACTACATGTATGTCCCACCATGTCCAGCTAATTTTTGTAATTTTTTTTTTTTTGTAGAAATGGGGTCTTGCCATGTTTCCCAAGCTGGTCTCTAACTTCTGGGCTCAAGCGATCCACCCACCTCAGCCTCCCAAAGTGCTGGGATTACAGGCATAAACCACCGTGCCCAGCCTTTTCTTTCTCATTTACTATATTGGAGACATCACTGTGTGACAACAAATACAGCTTTGTTATCATTTATCTAGCAGTGACCTATTTATAAACATTGTGATTATTTGCAGTTTCTCAAACTTATAAACTGTGTGTACTCAACATTCTTATATATCCCTACATACTTCTGCATTTAGTTCCTTAACACAAATTTTTATAGATGTTGGTACCTATTGTCATATGTTCTCCAGAAAGTCTATACAGGTTTAATATCCCTTATCCGAAATGCTTGGGACCAGAAGTGTTTTGGGTTTAAGTTTTGTTTTTTTTATTTTGGGATATTTGCACATACAGAGGAGACTTCTTGGGGATAGGATCCAAATCTAAACATGAAATTCACTTATGTTTCACCCCTCATACATATACCCCAAAGATAACTTTATGCAATATTTTTAACATTTTTGTGCATGAAACAAAGTTGGGTTTTTTTCTTTTTTTTGACACGGGGTTTTGCTCTGTTACTATGCATAATCATAGCTTATTGTAACCTAAAACTCTTGGACTCAAATGATCTGCCCACCTCAGCCTCCCAAGTGGCTGAGGCTACAAGGTGTGTGCCATAATACTCAGCTAATTAAAAAAATTTTTTTTGTAGAGATGGGGTCTTGCTGTGTTGCCCAGGCTGTTCTCAAACTCCTGGCCTCAAGCAATCCTACTGTGTCAGTCTCCCAAAATGTTGGGATTGCAGGCATGAGCCACAACGTCCTGCTACAACAAGTTTTGGCTGCATTTTATTGTTTGCTTGTTTGTTTGTTTTTACTGATGGGCTCTGTCTGATATGGTTAAATATTAAAAAATGAGAACTGTTTCAACAACTACGCTGCATAACGTTTAAGGACAAAATACTGAATATAGTTTTTATTATATATGTATTTTATTACATAATGAGGAATGCTGAGGTGCTTAATCCATCCCATAAATTGAAAATAAAAACTTTACATTTCTATATTTTTGTCAGTATGCAGGATTCTGAAGATGGATCTTGACTCTGGGTCATAAATCAGTTTTCAAGGGAACTGGCTATGTTTTGACTGTGTCTCGTCACATGACATCATTTCGGCCCTCAAAAGTTTCAGATGTTGGAGCATTTCAGATTTCAGATATTTGGACTGGGGATGCTCAACCTGGACCAGTTACATTCCCACCAACAATATTTGGAAATAGCCTATTGCCCTATATTCTTATCAACAAAAAATTATCATCTTCAAAATATATATATACATATATAAATATAGATATAGATATATATTTTTAGACAGAGTCTCACTCTGTCACCTAGGCTGGAGTGCAGTGACACCTTCTTGGCTCAATGCAACCTCCACCTCCTGGGTTCAAGCAATTCTTGTGCCTCAGCCTCCTGAGCAGCTGGGATCACAGGCCTGTGCCACCATTCCCAGCTAATTTTTGTATTTTTAGTAGAGACAGCTTTCAGCATGTTGGCCAGGCTGGTTTTGAACTCATGACCTTAGGTAATCCACCTGCCTTGGCGTCCCAGCTTGCTGGGATTACAGTCTGAGCCACTGCACCTGACCCAAAAAAATCTTTCAAAAAATATTTTTAAATTATTTATTTTTAATCTGCCAATCTGGTAAAAATGAGTTTTGGTAGTGGTTTCTAGATGACAGTGAAAGTTGATCATTTCTTTGCTGTTAGCTTATTCATTAAAAGCCCTACTGTATAATTTTTTTATTTTTTAGGCTTCTCATAACATTGGGATAGCAATGGATACTGAGCAGGGTTTGATTGTCCCTAATGTGAAAAATGTTCAGATCTGCTCTATATTTGAGATTGCCACTGAACTGAACCGCCTCCAGAAATTGGGCTCTTTGGGTCAACTCAGCACCACTGATCTTACAGGAGGAACATTTACTCTTTCCAACATTGGATCAGTGAGTAATCATGTTGAAATACATAAACCATAACTTAAGGTCTCTGATCATATGCTTAATTAAAAATAGAAAATGTTACTTGCCATTTGTTCCCTAAAAATCTTAACTTTTATACTCTCCTTTTTTTTTTTTTTTAAACAGATTGGTGGTACCTATGCCAAACCAGTAATATTGCCACCTGAAGTAGCCATTGGGGCCATTGGATCAATTAAGGTACATGTCTTAAAAAACTGAAATATGGAGTTTAAACAAATTCAGGGAGTAAACACAATGAAGAGTAAACATTTCTGAGGTTTCCCCTCATTTTGTAGATTTGAGTTTGTGAGTTTGTCTTAGAAAGTCTTTATATATATACTTTAAGTTCTGGGATACATGTGCAGAACATGCAGGTTTGTTACATAGGTATACATGTGCCTTGATGGTTTGCTGAACCCATGGCTTCATCATCTACATTAGGTATTTCTCCTAATGATATCCCTCCTCTTGCCCCCCACTATCTGACAGGCCCTGGTGTGTGATATTCCCCTCCCTGTGCCCGTATGTTCTCATTGTTCAACTCCCACTTATGAGTGAGAACATGCGGTGTTTGGTTTTCTGTTCCTGTGTTAGTTTGCTGAGAATGATGGTTTCCAGCTTTATCCATGTCCCTGCAAAGGATATGAACTCATTCTTTTTTATGGCTGCATAGTATTCCATGGTATATATGTGCTATGTTTTCTTTATCCAGTCCAACACTGATGGGCATTTGGGTTGGTTCCAAGTCTGCTATTGTGAACAGTGCTGCAATAAACATGCATGTGCATGTGTTTTATACTAGAATGATTTATAATTCTTTGAGTATATACCCAGTAATGGGATTGCTGGGTCAAATGGTATTTCTAGTTCTAGATCCTTGAGGAATTGCCACATGGTCTTTTACAATGGCTGAACTAATTTACACTCCCACCAACAGTGTGAAAGCGTTCCCATTTCTCCACATCCTCTCCAGCATCTGTTGTCTCCTGATTTTTTAATGATTGCCATTCTCATTGGTGTGAGATGGTATCTCAATGTGGTTTTGATTTGCATTTCTCTAATGACCAGTGATTATGAGCTTTTCCTCATATGTTTGTTGGCTGCATATATGTCTTCTTTTGAAAAGTGTCTGTTCATATCCTTCACCCACTTTTTGACAGGGTTTGCTTTTTTTTGTAAATTTAAGTTCTTTGTAGATTCTGGATATTAGCCCTTTGTTAGATGGGTAGGTTGCAAAACTTTTTTCCCATTCTGTTGGTTGCTGGTTCACTGTGATGATATTTTCTTTTGCTATGCAGAAGCTCTTAAGTTTAATTAGATCCCATTTGTCTCTTTTGGCTTTTGTTGACATTGCTTTTGGTGTTTTAGTCATGATGTTCTTGCCCATGCCTATGTCCTGAATGGTATTGCCTATGTTTTCTTCTATGGTTTTTATGGTTTTAGGTCTTATCTTACATTTAAGTCTTTAATCTATCTTGAGTTAATTTTTATATAAGGTGTAACGAAGGGATCCAGATTCAGCTTTCTGCATATGGCTAGCCAGTTTTCCCAACACCATGTATTAAGTAGGGAATCCTTTCCCCATTGCTTGTTTTTGTCAGGTTTGTCAAAGATCAGATGGTTGTAGATGTGTGACATTATTTCTGAGGCCTCTGTTGTGTTCTGTTGGTTTATATTCTGTTTTGGTACTAGTACCATGCTGTTTTGATTACTGTAGCCTTGTGGTATAGTTTGAAGTTAGGTAGCGTGATGCCTCCAGCTTTGTTTTTTGTTGTTTTTTTGTTTTTTTGCTTAGGATTGTCTTGGCTATGATGGCTCTTTTTTGGTTCCATATGAAATTTAAGGTTTTTTTTTTTCCAATTCTGTGAAGAAAGTCAGTGGTAGTTTGATGGGGATAGCATTGATTCTATAAATTACTTTGGACAGTGTGGCCATTTTTATGATACTGATTCTTCTTAACCATGAGCATGTGGACACAGGGAAGGGGAACATTACACACTGGGGTCTGTCGGGGGGTGGGGGGCTAGGGGAAGGTTAGCAGAGGGTAAGGGGGTAGGGGAGGGATAGCATTAGGAGAAATACCTAATGTAGATGATGGGTGATGGATGCAGCAAACCACCATGGCACTTGTATACCTATGTTACAAAGCTGCATGCTCTGCACATGTACCCCAGAACTTAAAGTGTAATAATAATAATAATAATAAATTTTTAAAAAATTAAAATAAACTACAAAGAAATTCAAAATATGGATAAGTGATTGGTGGCCATGATTTCAAAGACACTGACTTAGAATAAGGATTGCAATGATTCTTAACCCTGGCTGCATGTTAGAATCAGCTGAGAGCTTGAAAAGAAATTATAGCCAAGCTCCCCCTCTACCAACTGAATCAGAATTTTGGAGGATGGGACTTGGGTACCCCTATTAATTCAGTATTAAGGACCACTGAGGCAAATAAGCTCCTAGATACCACTTCAATACTATGTTTATTAAATGTCATTGTCACTATATTAAGAAGAACATGTTTTTTTGTTTATTTGTTTGCTTGTTTTGAGACGGAGTTTCGCCCTCATTACCCAGGCTGGAGTGCAATGGCGTGATCTCGGCTCACTGCAACCTCCGCCTCCTGGGTTCAGGCAATTCTCCTGCCTCAGCCTCCCAAGTAGCTGGGACTACAGGCGCACGCCAACATGCCCAGCTTATTTTTTGTATTTTTTTTTATAGTAGAGATGGGGTTTCACCATGTTGACCAGGATGGTCTCGATCTCTTGACCTTGTGATCCACCCGCCTCGGCCTCCCAAAGTGCTGGGATTAAAGGCGTGAGCCACCACACCTGGCCAACAGGATGCTTTTATGTCTATTGAATCTAATAATAAGTTGGGGCTTATATTTTGTCTATCTTTTTTTTTTTAATGGGGAAAATATATATATTTAGAATTAGCCAGCTGGGCTCATTTTAGGTGATCCCAATTTTTTTGGCAACATCCCAAGCACTGTAATTAGGAGCCAATGGAATATATACCTTCCTTTCTCCATCAGGCCTGATCAAGGTGTTGACCTTGGCCACAAAAGTGTCATAGAGCTTCTTCGCAGCCTTTTTGATCTGGTGTTACTGGCTTTATAATCTACAAAGAACACAAGCGTGTTGTCTTCTGTCTTCCTGACCAACTCAGTGGTTGGAGGAACTTGAGAATGGCTTGCTTCCTCACTGCCTTCAGTGAGGAAGCCTTGTTTAATTGTCTTTCTCTCCCCAGAACCCAGAAGATTACTTGGCACATAGTGGGTATACAGTAAATAATTGTTAAATATTTGAAATCTGAGATGAAAGTTAATGAATGTAGGTATGGGAATTGTACAAGGGAAAGGAAGTACCTTGGAGAAGTTCTGAAAATTTCAGGCACATACTCAAAGGTGGGAAGAGTTTTCAAAAGTCATTAGGGATGCCCATTTTTTTCCTCTATTGTAGGGAGAAGGGTTTGCCTGATCTTACGCCATTGTTAGAGCTTGAGCTTTGAGCAAGTGAAGGTTTACTCTTTCTTCTTTTTTTTTTTTTTCCATTTCTAGGCCATTCCCCGATTTAACCAGAAAGGAGAAGTATATAAGGCACACGTAACGAATGTGAGCTGGTCAGCTGATCACAGAGTTATTGATGGTGCTACAATGTCACGCTTCTCTAATTTGTGGAAATCATACTTAGAAAATCCAGCTTTTATGCTACTAGATCTGAAATGAAGACTGATAAGACATTCTTAAACTTTTTGAGCTTCCAGAGAGTATGTAAAGCCTAGCTGTGCCAGTACGTGTTCACCTTTACAATTTGTATTGTAAATGATTTGTATGGTATGATTAAGGTTCTAAGGCACAGTATTTGTCACTGTTCTGTTGAACTTTTTACTGAAAATGATTAATGGTATAATGGTTCTCCTGGGGCTGTACATTTTATAGGTCAGAATGTGACTGCTTAATATGGTGCTGACGTCTTTGTGTCAATGGCTTGAAACTGGCAAGGTTAACAAAATTAATGTTACTAAAAGACACGTAGCCATATACAGATAGTATATACCCTATTTTTTATAACTGACTCAATGAAACTTTTTAATTATACCTAATTAGGAAAAGGAATTCATATACAAAATATTTTCCATTTCCCTGTAATCATGCTGTTGTATAACATAAGTGCAATAATACTTCTCTTTTGAGATATCCAATAGTTTATTCTTGCTCTGTGTAGAGAATATCGCCTGTAAATGTCTTATTTCTATCAATTAATATCTTTGAAAAGGGAAAAGTGTAAACTGGCCTTAAAAATGTCCAATTATAGTTTTGTAACCAGGTAGTCTATTAAAGGTGTTTGTCTAAAATGGATATACTTTTAGAGTTTTGGTAATGCTTTAGCATTTTCTTGGGAATCACCTTCACCTTTGCAAACTTCCCTTAGGTAAGGAAGGCACTTTAAATGTAGCAGCCACTGACATTTCTTTTTTTTTTTTTAATTTGCAGAAGTCTACATTCTTTTAACTTTTTTGGTCTTCAGTTAAAAAATAGAATAAGAAATTAAGGTCTATTTCGTTCTCCATATCCTGGGTAGGAATGTAAATAACAGGAGAAGGAAGAGTCTAATAATAATTATGGATATAAAAAATAATAAATTTTGTATAGAAATGAAGGTTTCATAATGATAATTTTGCTAAAGGTCTACTTTAATCAGAAATAGTATCGAGATGAATGTATCCAACATCTCAATTTGCATTCAGAAATTTATGTTGTTTCTAATATTGTCCAGTTGAATACTGTATGCCAAAATTAGTTGTTCAAGTGAAGTTTTGTGACAGAAAAAAAGGTTGTTTTAATGTCTATTTGGTTTTTCTCAAAATGGAAATAATTTTAAAATCAGGAAAGAATAAGTCAGGTGTAGTGTGACTTGAAAGTGTAATCCCATTTATAGGGGAGGCTGAAGCAGGAGGATCACTTGAGGCCAGGAGATTGAAACCAGCCTGGGCAACATACTGAGATCCCATCTCAAAAAAAAAAATTCTTTTTTAAGTTAGCCCAGTGGTTCATGCCTGTAATCTTAGAACTTTGGGGGGCTGAGGTGGGCAGATCACCTGAGGTCAGGAGTTCGAGACCAGCCTGGCCAACATGGTGAAACCCCATCTCTACTAAAAATATAAAAAATTAGCCAGACGTGGTGGTACATGCCTGTAGTCCCAGCTACTCGGGAGACTGAGGCAGGAGAATTGCTTGAGCCCAAGAGATGGAAGTGGCAGTGAGTAGAGATTGCATCAACCTAGGCGACAGAGAAACACTCCATCTCAAAAGAAAAAATTAGCCAAGTGTGTTGGTGTTGCACACTAACTGAGACAGAAGGATCAACTGAGCCCAGGAGTTCAGAACTGCAGTGAGCTATCATAGTGCCACTAGACTCTAGTATGGGTAACAGAGTGAGACCTGGTCTCTAAAAAAGAAAAAGAAAACAAATAAGTCAAATAAATGCTGTTACTGTAAATTTTCAGATAATACAAAGAGTTGTCAATAAAATAAAAAATCATTCATAATATTACCACTATTAACATTTTGATGTATGTATCTGTATATATGGCTATTCTTTTTATTAAAGCAGGATCATAGTATATCTACTATTTGTTATTTGATTTTTAAAATTTAACATTATATTATGGGTAACTTTACATATCAGTAAACAATTCCACATTGTCATGCTTTCAAATAGCTGCATAGTATTCCATTGTGTGCATTTATTATACATTCAAATATTAAACATCTACTCTACCAATCATGGTTCTAAGCATACAATAGCCACCTTCATGCTCCCTTCCTTGATTGGGCTTACAGTCTAGTGGAGGAGACAGATATTAAATAACTGCAAAAAACACTGTTCTTGGTAGGAAATAACCCAGGTGCTATGAGCCATCCAGTAAACAAACGTTACTGATCTTATCTGGAAGGATCAGAAGATGGATGTCCCATAATTTAACCAATTCTCTATTGATAGACATTTATTGTAAATTTAAAATGACATGATCAGTAAAAAGGTCCTCTTCACTTAAAGAATAGAAGAACCAGGGGAAGGGAATTCTGAAATAAGTAAGTGTAATATATTCCCCTGAAGGTCCAGCATCAGTGGCTCAAGATACTGAATTCCCAAAATAACCGTTAAACTGCCTGGTTCTATTCCAATCCCTGGGCATTACCATCTTCTCTTTGGTCTCATCCATTGAGAATTCAGCAAAGGATTTGTTCCCTACTGTGTGCACAGCCCTTAGGATAGCAGGATTCCCTGGAGGGGGCCAGACAGGCAGGAGCAGAGCCTTAGCGGCAGTGCTAGTCTATGGGGCTCTACAGAGCAAGGGGTGGGTGTTTGGGAGGAGAAAAGGGTTCTTGCTGTACTCCTAGAGGTTGGAGTTAAAGTGGAAAGGCCAGAAAATTCAAGTTCTTTACTAACATGACCTGATATTAGAAAGTGTATGTACACGGGGGAGAAGCCAAATTTATTGCTGCGAGTGGCCAACAAGAAATCAAAGCTCTGCTCCTTATGTACAGCATTCCTCTGATATTTGAAAAAGAAGTAAAACAGGGAAGGAAGACTGAGAATAGAAGTCAAAATGGGCATGAATGTATGTTTTAGCAATCAATACCTTATGTTGAAACCTGAATAACAGGTGATTATGTAGAAAGAGAGTGAAAGTGACAGCTCTTAGTCAGGAAAGCCCACTGGGTTGTTTGGGCATTTCTCATGGCTTCCCACTCAAAGTGGATCCCAAAAATCACTTGATGAATTTCCTTGTTGATTTCTAAGTAAACTATGGTTTAAGGAAGAAATGATGGAGGCTGGGCATAGTGACTCACCCCTGAATCCCAACACTTTAAGAGACTGAGGTGGGTGGATCACCTGAGGTCAGGAGTTCAAGACCAGACTGACCAACATGGAGAAACCCCATCTCTACTAAAAGTACAAAATTAGCCGGGCGTGGTGGCATATGCCTGTAATCCCAGCTACTTGGGAGGCTGAAGCAGGAGAATTGCTTGAACCCAGGAGGCAGAGGTTGTGGTGAGCTGAGATGGCGCCATTGCACTCCAGCCTGGGCAACAAGAGTGAAATTCTGTCTCAAAAAAGAAAAAGAAAGAAATGAAGGCACTCAGCACTGCCCTACAATACCAAGAGTACAAATGTTTCCATGAAGTCTTCAAAGACATTTGTAACATTCAGGCTGTAATTGATTAATGAGTTTATTCTGCACATATTTATTAATTGTATATTCAGTTCCAGGCTCTAGGGTAGAGATTATGGATAAAGGTGAATTAGATAGATGCAGTTTTTGCCCTCACAGCAAGAGCTTTAGCCAGTGGTTAATGCTATCACTACAAGTGGGTTTGTGCCAATAACCTGGAGAAGAGCAGTGCTTTTAGAATTGAGCTATATTCCCAATCAGTTTTTTTTTTTTTTTTTTTTTTTTTTTTTTGATTTTTATTTTTATTTTTATTTTTATTTTTATTTTTTTTTTATTTTTTTTTTATTTTTTATTGGATTATAGGTTTTGGGGTACATGAGCAGAGCATGCAAGACAGTTGCGTAGGTACACACATGGCAGTGTGCTTTGCTTTTCTTCTCCCCTTCACCCGCATTTGGCATTTCTCCCCAGGCTATCCCTCCCCACCTCCCCCTCCCACTGGCCCTCCCCTTTTCCCCCCAATAGACCCCAGTGTTTAGTACTCCCCTTTCTGTGTCCATGTGTTCTCATTTTTCATCACCCACCTATGAGTGAGAATATGCGGTGTTTCATTTTCTGTTCTTGTGTCAGTTTGCTGAGGATGATGTTTTCCAGATTCATCCATGTCCCTACAAACGACACGAACTCATCATTTCTGATTGCTGCATAATATTCCATGGTGTATATGTGCCACATCTTTCCAATCCAGTCTATTATCAATGGGCATTTGGGTTGATTCCAGGTCTTTGCTATTATAAACAGTGCTGCAATGAACATTCGTGTACATGTGTCCTTATAGTAGAACGATTTATAGTCTTTTGGATATATACCCAGTAATGGGATTGCTGGGTCAAATGGAATTTCTATTTCTAAGGCCTTGAGGAATCGCCACACTGTCTTCCACATTGGTTGAACTAATTTACACTCCCACCAACAGTGTAAAAGTGTTCCTTTTTCTCCACATCCTCTCCAGCATCTGTTGTCTCCAGATTTTTTAATGATCGCCATTCTAACTGGCGTGAGATGGTATCTCAATGTGGTTTTGATTTGCATCTCTCTGATGACCAGTGACGATGAGCATTTTTTCATATGATTGTTGGCCTCATATATGTCTTCTTTCATAAAGTATCTGTTCATATCCTTTGCCCACTTTTGAATGGGCTTGTTTGTTTTTTTCTTGTAAATCTGCTTGAGTTGTTTGTAAATTCTGGATATCAGCCCTTTGTCAGATGGGTAGACTGCGAAAATTTTTTCCCATTCTGTTGGTTGCCGATCCACTCTAGTGACTGTTTCTTTTGCCGTGCAGAAGCTGTGGAGTTTGATTAGGTCCCATTTGTCTATTTTGGCTTTTGTTGCCAATGCTCTTGGTGTTTTGTTCATGAAGTCCTTGCCTACTCCTATGTCCTGGATAGTTTTGCCTAGATTTCCTTCTAGGGTTTTTATGGTGCCAGGTCTTATGTTTAAGTCTTTAATCCATCTGGAGTTAATTTTAGTGTAAGGTGTCAGGAAGGGGTCCAGTTTCTGCTTTCTGCACATGGCTAGCCAGTTTTCCCCCAATCAGTTCTTAATGGCAGTTTCGCTCCTTCCCTCTACACTGTCTTTTCTTAGAGATTGAATCATGTCTGTGAACCCAAATTGTTTCTAGTCAAAATCGCTGGGAGAGGCCAGACACAGTGGCTCATACCTATAATCCCAGCACTTTGGGAGGCCTAATGGGTAGTCACTTGAGTCCAGAGTTTCAGACCAGCCTGGGCAACCCCATCTCAACCAAAAAAAAAAAAAGAAAACACCAAAAAACAAAAAATTAGGCCAACGTAGTAACATGTATCTGTGGTTCCACCTACTCAGGAGGCTAAGGTGGCAGGATTACTTGTGCCCCGGGGGCAAAGGCTGCCATGAACTGAGATTGTGCCATTGCACTCTAGCCTGATGACAGATCAAGACCCTCTCAAAATATATGTGTGTGTGTGTGTATACACACACACACATGAGAGCTTTTGATTTGTCTTTCTTGGTTCATGTTCCCATCAGTGTGGGCAGGAGAATACAACACTCTGTCCACACTTGAGTCTTATGGTCACCTTTGGAGCCTAGGAGTCAGCCATCCTCATTCAACTACCTAGATCAAGAATGGGGATCTGGGAGAATTTATGGGCAGATTAAAAAGGAAGTCTACTACATAAAGTAAGGTGTTGCCTTCCCACCCCATCACACCTCAATTCATGTTAAATTATGAATTTTTCTGAGAGAGTTCTTTAATGACATGGGTAGGGAGGAAGCTGAGGTAGCAGTATAGTAGGGAGTAGAAGGCAAATACACAAGATACTGTTAAACTGTGAGGCTGTTTGTTGCAATTCCAAGATTTTATAATTTCTCCAACAAAGAACATTTCTATTTTCTTCCCAGTTTAAGTTAAATGTTAGTTTGAGAAATAATTTTACTCTCTAACTTCACGTTGTGCTGACAGCTCAGCTGTTGCTGTCAAAATATGAATAACTAGCTTCAGTATTCCCTGTTCATCTGATTTTTCTTAAAATGCATGTTAATCTACTCACTAGCTTTAATGCTCTACTGTTATACCAGCACCTTAATTATGGTAAAAGGAAAAAGTTTAAGCTAAAATATCAAAGCATAGTTATGTGGTCAAACAGAAGATTAACAGAACTCCATGGCTTACCACAGGGATATTTATCAAGAGAAAAAGAAGAAACGTATTGGAATTTACATGACACTTTCTGTGAAATATCTGGACAAATGCCTTCCAATTTCTACAGCACATGCCCAAGGCACTCTTCATAGTACCTGTTCAGGTCTTTTCTGCTAATTTTAAGCACCTACCCAAACATCTTCCCAGGCTTGTCATAATAAGCAAATAACCTCAGAGTAGACAAAGTGATTCAATCTAAGAACCTTTCATTTCTCTCCTTTTCACCTCAAAATTTTTATTCTCACCCTTTCTCTTTCCTTTTGTTTCTCTTTCTGGAAAGTGGTTCTCCATCAACAAATATCAAACTTTCTGCCCTCTATTACTTATTCCATCTCTTCCTCCAGTCCCTACCCTACGTAGAACCCCCATTGCCCCACTTTGATCCTTCAGTCTCTTCCTCACATCCGAAACTGTACCAGATTTACTCTCTTGGCACACTGATTAAAATTTATTTCCAGTTCCTCATGGAGGAGGTATTAGAGACTGATGCCAGAACTCTGAAAATTTCAGTGTGGCAGAATAATGTTATGTGCCCATAAACCTGGTTTCTTTTCCTTCAGCCTGCAGTTAGGTAGGGCCATGTCATTTATTTGTAACTACTAGAATACGGACATATGGGTTGAAGTAATGTAGGCCATTTCCAGTCATGGCCGATAACACATCTCAAGAGATTCTTCACATTCTATCTCTTCCCCTCCA